ATACATAGATGGCTACTGACAGCTTGCAATGTGGCCGATGCAACTAAGAAATGGCATTTTAACGGGGGATCTAGCTCAGCAGCACAAGCACCTGCCTGGTAAGCACAGGGTCATGAGGTTGATCCCCGGTACCAAAAAAAAAAAAAAAAAAAAAAAAAAAAGGCACTTTAAAACTAAATTTTAACTTAGATTTTAAAATGGAAGAAGTATAAAATGTAGGTGTCTATATAATGTCTATGTAAAGTGCACACTAGATTTCAAAGACCGGTTTTTGCAGCTGTGTAATATTGCACCGTAATATTCATTAGCCCTCTCTCATATTTGACTTGATCCCAGTCCTTTAAAAACACACAGATGCGGGGCTGGGGATTTAGCTCAGCAGCATAAGCGCCTGCCTTGCAAGCAGGCAGTCGTGAGTTTGATCCCTGGTACCAATAAAAACGAAAAAGACAAAAAAAAAAAAAAAAAACCCACACACAGATGCATGCTGGGGATTTAGCTCAGTGGCACAAGCCATCTGCCTGGCAAGTATGAGTTTGATCCCCAGTACAAAAAAAACCAAAAACAACCCATAAGGGCTTAACTTTGTCCCTGCATCACTTTGCAGGCTGATCCATAAGCTGAATCCCCAGCACTTAGGTTACAAGGTCAGTGAGTTTGTAATTGTGATATGACCCAGGTACTCTCCATAGCAGTGTGTCTTTTGTACTCTACTAGCAGTGTGTGTGAGGACCCTTTCTCTGAACACCACAATTCTGTTTGAGGACTTAACACATTCCATGTTAAGAGTTTTAAGACATAACAAATGCTTTGCCTAACTTATTTTTTAATGAAAAAAAGAAAAACTTACTATTGGTAATACAGTTCTTAGGATTCGCATCTTCGGATTGATTCTCAAAATGAAATGTTGAAGCATGGACCCACATTGTGTTCCCAGGAAGGAGAAACTGGTGAAGTCATAGCTGTTCACATTCAGATGCAGCAGGAGGGATTTGGGGAAGGCATTTCTCAGTGCCCCAGTCCCCTTAGGACAGAAAGGTTAGCACTGCCTTAGTGGGGCCTCTGGCTTAGTTTTACTGGATGTAGACCTAGTCCAGCTTTGGCTGCTTCAAGAGGACATGCACAGACGTGGCTGAGTCTAAGAGCTGCTGTACACATCGGGTGGTCTCTTTGGTGTAGGTTATTAATGTCCACAGTTCCACACTGAGGCCAGCTGCTGTTCTTCTTGAGACTTGTGTGCCCTCTACTGCCCTCTCTGCCTGGTTTGTTTTTTCACATGGAAATAAAGAACCGAACATTTAGTATCCAGAAACAAATGGTTTCAAATTTCCCATTCATAAGAATCTTAAAATAAGATTCACTGTATAGGGATGCACTCACAAAAAGCTTAAGAGAGTTTGATAGGACATCCAGGAGAACATGGCGTATAAATAACAGCAGCCATGGAGGCTCTCTGAGATTACCAGTTTAGAGTCCAGGAGCGGTGCCGTGTGAGGAGTCCTGCGTGAGGGGAGATGTACCCTGCTGACCCAGGAACAAACTAAGCTGAGAGAAACCAACTGGAAAATGCAATCCTGATGCTATAACAGGAACAGATAAAATCTCAGCACTAAAGCTGGATCCCGCACCATTGGAAGCCACGATTTGAATTTCCTGCTGCCGATACTGCATCCCAATCCACACGGCAGGGAGAGAGACACGCGAAAGCTCTGAGAGCTGGAATTGGCAAACCAAACGGTGTTGAGAGCAGGACTGGCAGGGAGCCCTGCATCGACCTGCGGTGAGTGAGAGAAATGGGGACCCTTTCATAGACTAGGAGGCTCCAACAGAGGACATTCTGGGAACGAGCAGACTAGCCAGAATAGGGCTCTGCAGTGACTTTAGTCGCATATTCCCCTCTCAAGCGGGTGGGGAGTGCCTGGCCTGGTGACACCGCGGACTAAGATCCAGTAGGCTAGCCCAAATCAGGTCCCTGTGCCTGGTGGTGCACCCTAGCATTGAAGCATTCAGTAGGTTGACCTGGAGGGGCGGGCCCAGCAGAGGCTGCCCAGGTTGTGTCTCCCTAGTACACTGTAGTGGGTGGGAACACCTAGCCAGCAGATTCAAACAAACTGTAACAGACAAAGAAAAAAAAAAAAAAAAACTGGGCCTCTTACATACGCTTGTATGGAAGGAACAAAAAGTATGGGAAAAGGGAGCAACAAGAAAGGGTCCTCAGTCCCCAATCCTGAGAACATTGATCCAGGAAAAGTAAATGCAAGAGAATGAAGACAGAAAACATGCAGTATCAGACACGGTACCTATAGACATAAAGTGGTATCTCCGGAGCCTCATAGACGAGTTCAAAAAATGAAGTATTTAATGAAATAAAGCAAGAAATAAGTAGAAGTTAGAGAAATGCTAAGCACCACCCAAGAAAAAACAGATGGTGGAATGGAAGAACAGAAAAAAAAAAAAGGAGAATTGTTTGATGGAGAAAATAGAGAAAACATAGAATACGTGAAGCAGGTTCACAGAGATTACCAGGAAACTAAAAACTCTATTGAAAGCTGGCATAACAGCTTGAAAGAAACTAAGGATAGATTATCAGAACTGGAGGACATATTTGTAAGGTGGGAGCATGAAATGAAAAACTTCTTAAAAATATCAAGAAAACAGCAATAATACAAAGAATAGAAGATGATAAGAGGATCTATAACTTAAGAATTAAGAACATAAAAGAAGAAGTAGGGACTCAAACAAATTAACTATTGAACTAAATGAACAAATGAACTATAGCTCAAACAAAAGCTATTCACAGAAATAATCCAGGAGAATTTCCTTAATTTAGAAAAAGGTAAAGATACTCAGAGGTATGAGGCATACAGGACCCCAGCCACCTACAACCCTAACAGAGCTACACCCAGGCATATAATAATCAAAATTCCAGAAATACAATATAAGAACAGAATATTAAAAGCCGTCAGAGATAAGAAACAGATCACTCACAAGGGAATACCCATCAGAATTACAGCAGACTTCTTGGCACAAACCATCGAATCACGAAGAGCATGGGGGGAAATAATTGAAGCTTTGAAAGATAATAACCTCCAGCCAAGATTGATATATCCTGCACAACTATCCCTGGAAATTGATGGAAAAACAAGGTGCTTCCAGGATAAAGAGGAACTAGGGGAATTTGCAACCAACAGTTCAACGCTACAGAGATTATTGCAGGATATTCTAAAAATGAAAAATACCAAGACTCCAGAAACAGTGGCAGAGAGACCACAATGAATGGAGCTGAAAGTGAAATGAGGAGGACAAACTGACAATTAATGACAGAAAAAGAGCTCAACAGAAATGAGGCAGAGAAGGTTGGATGGTAGGATCAGTCATTTTGGAGAAAACAAGACATAATAGGTAGTGCTGATTTAATGTCCTCTTGTTTTGAAGTCCCATCAAGCTTTTGTTCTTCTGTCTCCATCGGTTTTAACGTGTTGTATCTTACTGGATTTTATTATATGTGATAATATAAACAAAAACTTTTATAGACAAGATTATATAAAAACCATTGTTCATTTTCTGTTAGTTGATTCTAAATACCCAGTAATACTGTCATTTGCTTGAATGGTTTTACATTGTCTTGATACGTTTGATGCTACAGTATATGAAGTTATACCCAAAGATTTTAAGGGAAGAGACACTATGGTAACTACTATTATGTTGAGATTATCTTGTGGTGAAACACTATTTTGCTTAAATGGCTATGTTTTGACCTGCACTGTTTTGTTGTTATGCCCTCTTTTTTTTTTTTATCTCAATCTCCTTTTTATTATCTACTTTTTCATTTTTATCCTTTTAATTAAGGGAAAAACAAATAAAAAATAGCAGGATATATTATAGTAACCCACTTTGATTTCCTATTAACTTGATTTGAAACTCTGTATTGCTCTTACCATCTTGTTTTGACTGATTTTCCTCTATTCTGTTATGCTAGATAGTACCAAGTTTGAAAGTATAGGCAACAACTATGAAGACAATAAGATTCATTGTGACGCCCATTCTGGTTGACTATTATTTTCTTTTGAAGTCCTCTAATGTCTCCAATGTTTTGGTTTTATTGGTCTTATTCTTTACTGTTTGGTTCAATTTTATTATGACTGATGATATAGGCAATTCTTTTTAAGATAACAAGAGGAATTATGGTAACCATTGTTGATCACCTATATTTTGTTTTTACATTATGTATTATGTCCATCCTTTTGATTTGACTGACTGTGTCCTGGTATGTCACATTTGGTTTTACTTTCTTCAAAAAAAAAAAAAAGTAATAAAAATGTGGGAGTAATAAAACCCAAAATGTGTAATTGTCATTGTACAAAAGAAAGGAAAAGAAAGTTCTCTAAAAGATATAACTGCATATATATTTAAGTGTATAAGATAGATAACCATATTACTGAGTTTTGTTGGATCATTGAACAAAACTGTTTGCAGTCTCACTGTTTGAAAGTCCCCTCTATATGCTTTAATTTTGTAACTTCAACTATTTCTAAGATGACAATATGTAATTAACTAGTGATTTCCTACTGTTTATTTTTTCTGAAGTTCTGTATAACTTGTACCCTTTTTGTTTTTTTTTCTTTTTTCTCCTTAAAATTAAAAAAAAAAAAGGACAGTTTGATAGTCTTGCTTCTTGGCAATAGAAAGTTGTATTCTAGTGGATTCTGGAGGCATAGTAATGCATTTTCAGCGGATATGATTATAGACATTGACTGTCTGGGGTATCTCCTTTGTTACAATGTGAAAGATTAAGTGAAGGAAAGCCTTGGTGTTCCTTATGCAGAAGCACCCTGGCTACAGGACATGAGTGTGAAGGTGACCACCCACAGTAGGTCCTCTCCTCTGTGGGGAAGTTAGAGTGAACAGGTACCCAGCCTGCCATAGGAAGCAGCTGTACCATAGGTATTCTTGGCCTTTTTGGCTTCTGTTGCTAATTTTGCCTAATTGTTTTATTTCAGGAAGGGTTTTCACTCATCGGTAGCAAGAACTGGTTGAAGATTGTAAGACGCGTGGACTGTCTGTTGTTTGGAACAACAATAAAGGCAAGACCAGATTGACCATGCAGCCAACCATTTTTACATTAGCATCACACTTCTCATCTCGTGTGTGTATGTGTGTGTGTGTGGCGGGGGGGACAAGAGCTTCTCAGGACACCAGACACCGTGAAGGAAGGTCCACATCATGACAAGGTAGAAGACAAGGGCTGGAGAGGGGCGGCCTGCTAGCCAGCACAGCTGCTGACTGCTTCTTGGTCTCTGATACGGGTAGGAAGCAGGTGGAGCACAGCACGGTCCATTTGAGCTAATATAGAGGTGTTATTTTGAATGCTTTTCCAAACATGTCTTTTCACTTCCCTGTTTAATGTTTAAAAACTTTTTATTTGCTTTCTAGCTGTATTAACCATAAAGAATGATCTTCATCAACATGCAGACTAATCACCTGAATTACTTTCTTCCAGAAATAATCATAAAAATCAATCCGTTAGCATTTACTGAGTAAGTAATATTGAAGTGTAGGTGAAAGGCACTGATGTCTAATGGGCTCACAGATCTTAAGAACTGAAAGAAGTCTTGAAGAGAATCTGGTGCAGGTAAGCACCTGAGGTGCACCCAGAGTTTAGGGAGGTCTCTGAACCCATAATGCCTTGGGTTTGTGGGGCCTCTGATAACACCCTGGCCCTTCTCTGCATGGTGCCATGGGCTGCAGAGCTGTGGCTCAGGTGCCCCACAGGTGAATACAGTTCACACTGGTGTGAGCACTGTGGCTTCTCCTCCCAGGAAGTAAAGCCTTGCTTTTCCTGTGCGTGCGTGCGTGCGTGCGTGCGTGCGTGTGTGTGTGTGTGTGTGTGCGTGTGTGTAGGGAGTGGAAAGACAAGCACTTGTTTCCTTAAGGAGTCCGTGTACCATGGAATTTTCTAAAATTTGTTATAACTTGCGATAAGGTATTGGGAGGTAAGGTAAGTGCAACTTAACATGAACCACTACCTAAGATACAGTGATTCTGAGCACACCTCCTTAGGTGGTAGAACTATCCTCTGGGATAGTTCCTGGCTCTTGGTATACTTGAAAATTGAACATTTCATAGCAGGAAGCTCTTTCTGACTTTGTCATAAAAACAAATCAAGATTTTCAGTGTACCATGGAGATTTTCAAACCCAGCGGCAGGTTTTCCATGGTGTGTGTTGAGGTGAGGCTCGGGAGGAAGTGCAAACTGTCTCCAGTTTTCCTGATGTACATGCACTTAAGTAGTAGATCTGGCTTCAGATAAGCTCAAATTCTGAGAGCTGGATAGAAGCAAACATGGACCAATGCCATCAGACTTCCCTGTCATTTTTTAACTATGCCCCAGACAAACTTGAGTTACCCAGATGGATTGTGGATTGTTCCATGCACTCACAGACACCTCTAGGCTTGTACATGACTAGTCTTGGATCTTAGCTTTGCTCATTACACCTACTCGGGGTCTAAGTGCCGCTGTTCAGATAATGACAAGGAGCTATTTTTGATGTGCTGTTACATAAAAGGCTGCTTAGTTAATTACAGAATCCAAACAGAAGTAGCTAATACAAAGCTACTTCCTGTAGGTGTCTTCATACAGCATCTACAGTAGGGGGAGTTGGAAACAGCTGCCAACAAGCAGGCAGCGTAGCAGCTCAGTCCTAGAGAGGATCCCTAATATCACTGTATGCTGAGTTACAGTTCTCTCCTTGGTCCCTCCCTTCCTCAGCGAAGGCTAGCGTTTCATGAGTTGGACACACTGGAATTGTCCATTGTGGAGAGAAATGGGTAAGGGAATGACTCAAGAAAACCATCAGCATAGGAAATATTCACCCTCACTTGTGATCCAAGAAATAAAAAAATTTAAAAATCTGCTGAAAAGACTGAGAACCATGCTGGAGATTTAACTCAGCGGCATAAATAACCTACCTGACATTCTTGAGATCATCAGTTGGATCCCCAGTACCACAGGGGGTGGGAAGTGTGAGAACCTACTGGGTCAAGGTGTGGGGAAGGGTACCTCCCTGTGAGAATAATCCAGCCCCTGCTGCAGCAAGCCCTCTTTTGGATACTGATCCCCAGCAGTGTGCGCAGGGGCGCCAGCCTGTGAGGCAGCGTGTAATGGGAGGAGACTAGAATGGCCTCCATGTCAGCAGAGCCCGGGTCAGTAAAGAATACTCTTCTGCTGTCAGAGTGATGAGGTCTACTTCTACTTTATATACTTACTGTTAAACAAGCATTAGGCTGCAAAACATTAGTGTAAAGATACACCTACATATTATGTGCATGACCTGGAAAAATGAGTGGATGTTTTCTGCTAGTGTACATAATAAATATGCATACATATGTGTACATAGTAGAATACTACTCTACATATTTTGTCAGTATTGGATAGGAGCACCTGCTTTTCTGAATGTGATACCAGGCACTTCTGAGCCTGTCGTTCATTTTCTAGAACCCAAACATGTAACTCTGCTTGATGCATTTATTTAAACAGCTTAAATCATGAGCAGGAAAATCATGGACTATTTGATTATAGGAACCTCTAGGATTTTCATTGTGGTTATAAGTATTTTCATGCTAGCAGTGTGCTTAATACATTTAATAAGTGAAAGACTCACTGTGCTAATTTAAGTACCTGCATTTATAGAAGAAACTGAAGAAGCAGACAGGAAGGGAGGGGAATAAAAAGAATTAAGACATGTTAAGTGCATGCACCTGCTCCCTAAAGTGAGTGTATTATGTACTACAAACCTGAACCAATAATGAGAGAAAAAAATTGGCTGATGGTATTTCTGCAAATGAAATCGTAGAAGAATCTTCAGTCTAAAAACAAAACAAAAAACTGAACAAATATACCATGTACTTCAGGCTGGCTTTTATGTATGTTGACTTGCCTGAACTAAGTAGAATATTAAACTAGAAGAGGAGAAAACTACGAAGGTAACAGTCTGGGTCTGTTTTCAAACTTACTAACAACTTTGATGCAGTTGACAAATTTTAAAGAAATTTTTACTGCATCCTTCCCACTTCTGCCGTACTGAAGTGATTCACACAGCACACTGTGGGCCACTGTCCTGTGATGGTGTGTGGTGATCCTAACATGCGATACACTGCTTTCAGCAGCTGCCTGTTCATCCTGACGTTATTTAAGCTCCTGCCTCGAGCAATGTGATATCTACCGTGTGTTTTTTTATTTAGGTTAGAAAAATTTCATTGAGCCAGGACTATGTTGTATTATCTTCAGATTTTCCATTTAAGCAAAGCTTTAAAATCTATGTTGCTAAGCAAGACACAACCTGGATCTTCCCCGGCAGTATCATGACTTTCCTCTTCTTCATGATAGTAGAGTTCTGTTGCTGCTAATTTCTTGACGGAAATTGTGGTAGATTAAAAACTGAATTGAATTAGTAGTGTAGATGGCCCACCTGAGGGAAGTTGCCAACAAAAGGAGACACGTGAAGAAGCAGTATTTAGCATTGTGGGTTCTCCTGAGTGTGGTTGTTTGGAGCTGTTGGCTCTTCTGGAGCAGCTTGTCATGCTGGCTTCTCTGATATGAATGTAGCTATTACCATTGGAGCATCTCAGGACCTTGTTGCTGAGAATGATTGCTGTTCAGTTTGGGGGTGCGCTGATCCATCCTTTGAGCATCAATTACTGGCTCCAGGGAGAAAGATGTGTGCTGTCCAATCTCCAAGAGAAGCTTGTCACACTGGCTTCCTGGTACAAACTCATCTGTTCTCATCATTGGACAAGCTTGGGACCTTGCTTTCACTGAAGATGGCTGTGCTATCTCGGGGGAGCCCTGTCCTTATTTTGAACATTTCTTCTTAGTTCCACTGCAGGGCCCTCAACCTGCTGGCACAGATCCTTCACCGCACTGGCATAGACTTTCTAGCTTCCACCTGTGATCTTGGGACCTTCCCTGCGCAGATCCATGAAATAGACTTGCATGAGTCACTGCCATGGGCTCTAGGTTTTCAGCTGAACTCATGCAAATTATTGCCATGGGGTCCAGGCCTTCGGTTGGATTTTCTATGTGTTTAGTGTGTGGACAGACTTCATGCATTTTCTTTGTATTTGTTTGATTTCTAGGGTGACCATTATAAATAACACTATAAATTATGTGTCCTGTATTGTCTTGCAACCTCTGACTACAACTGAAATGAATTTCAGCATAAAGAGTAGTTTCCAAAATGAGAAAACAATGATTAACTTTTCTATAGCTATGACAAGAAGCATGGGTGACCACTGTTAATCACACCTCTGCCCCTCCAAGCAAAGAGGGCCACTCACCAGAAGCCCCCACAATAAAGAAAAATCAGTGGGTACAATGAGGGTCTCTCAGATGACTTTTCATTTGTCAACAGAACAAGAGTCGCATGTTCCGTGTACAGTTCGCCGGGGAGTCCAAGGAGCAGGCCCTGGAGAACTGCTGCAGCTGCGCGCAGAGCCTGGCCCACTATGTAACCGTCGAGGTGCCAGACAGTATCACCCGGCCAAGTCCTGGCCTGCTGTGGGCAGCTGACTGCCAAGGGAAGGAAAATGCACAGAGTGTCGCGTTGCAGCCTGGGGTGAGTAGGCAAGCACGCTGGCTCTGCAGAGCCCAGTGAGATGTGCTGTAGTCATAAGGGGATCGTCAGGTTCACTGGCTTTGTAGCTCTAGAAAACTGACATTCTGTAGCTTGTTCAATTTGAAGGTTGGTGCCCACCATAGCTGTTTATAATCCTACAAAGTAGACAGGAAGACCCAGCTGCAGGGGTTCACTTGGAACTGTTCTCAAAGTGTGACCCAGCTCTCGCTGAACCCCATTCTGGGACCCATAAGGCCAAGATTGCATTTGTAATCCCAGGAGTTTATTTTCTGTTTTCACCACCAGTTGTCATTTCTCACTAGTCATGTGCAGTAGAAACAGATCCCCAGAGCAGAGGCCCCAGTGTCCTGCAAGACACTGGCTCTCAGTGACAGCGCCTACATAGTGCTTACAGAGCTGAAATGGTCCCTCCTCCCTGGGCGCCACAGTTGACACACCATCAGGGTCATTCAGATGGGTGTCTGAACAAATTCTGTGAAGTGAAAGACGTTGAGTTCTCACTTCTGGATAACAAGGCAGAAAGCTTTTCAAGTGCAGTTTGAACCATACGAGTCTTGTACCTTCCTTACCCTGAACACTTCTGAGGCTGCTTGATGGACTTGACTCACTTTTTATAAAAAAAAAAATGAATGACGTGATGCAATGTGTCAACATTCAGAACACAGATATAGTTCAATGAGCCCATATTTCCCAGATGCCTGATAAATGCTGCTACAAAACTGTGAATAAAGCTTTTTCAAGTGCAAGATAGGCCAATGGATTGAGTTTTTTTGGTACCAGGCGTCAAACTCATGACCTCATGTTTTCCAAACAGGCACTTATGCTGCGGAGCTAAACCCCCGCCCAGGACAATGGATTTTAATATAACACAATATTTCAGATTCCTTGCTATGGTTTCATATTCTATGTTGCAACTAACCTTGGAACAGCTACACTTACTGGGTTTTGGTGTCATGTCAGGAACACTTGCAATTATCTTAAAAGCCTGCTTTAAAATATTCCTCCCTTTCCATCTTTGTATGTATGTAAAGGCAGGTTTTCTTCATGGACTTATAAGAGCAGGCTGAATGTAGAAGCAGGTTTAAGAATCCCACAACTCTGAGTGAGCCAGATATTCAGGAGTTACAGAAAGCGTGACATTTTGTTTTAGAAAAGTGATTTTTTTTTTGTAAAATGTTAGCAACATGATTTTTGAGGTGTAAAAAAATATTGTTTTAATTTCTCATATCAACACCAAATACACATGAAGGTGATTGAGGTTTTTGAGGGCCACTGTAATTATAAGGTTATAAAGGGGTCTTGAGATGACAAATTTGAGACTTGCTGTAGTGTTTCTTCTGAAAATACACATTTTAGCATTTTTTTCAGCTGGTCCCAGGGGTCTAGGCAGAAACGCCCTGTAAGTGGTTAGAAAACTTTCATGGCTTTTCTTGGTTCTCCATTTCGGGCTTTTGTGGTGGTTAAGAGACAGCATAATGCTGGGCACAGACAACAGGCTTGGGAACCCAAGCAGATCTGGTTGAATCCTAGCTCAATTTCTTGCTGTGTGATTTTGAGAGTCACTGAGGTGCTCAGTGAAATCTGTGTAGAAAGCACAGAGCACAATGCTAAGCTGATGTGACCTCAGTCACATCATCCATTATTGTTAATGCCAGCACTCACATTTTCAGATGTGCCTTCACTTCCACGTATGTCAGCATCCAGTTCAAAGAAGTAAGTGGCAAGAATCAGAACCTCCAGGGCCCAGGGGGACACAAGATCGAGGGTTTGAAGCTGCCGAGTATACTCCACTAGGTGCAGCACATAGAAGCAGGCCTCGAACAGCTGAGTTTTCCTGAAGACTTGGTGCCATGCTGCCTTCCTGTCTTTTGAAGGGCAAGCGGGAAGCCAACTTGAGGCCATCTTGCTGTGCCCATGGATTCAAATACTTTTTCCAGTACCAGACTATTTTTAGTCTAAAATAGTTCCCTTCTTTTGCAAATAGGGATAATGCCATGTCTACTTCAAGTCTTGAGTCATTTCCTGGCTCATGTTTTAGCTTTACGCCTCTTCAGCCTTGTAATTTTGTTAATTGTGGCCCATCCAGGTGTATCTCAACCTGAGGGTTCTTGAGATAACCGAGTTCCACTCCCCAAATCGGGGGTGGCAAACAGGCCGGAGGCCAGCAGTTAGGTGAACTTCCCCGTGTAAGCAGAGAAAGTCCCGAAGAGAGCAGTCCAGCTGCTATGCACAGAGCCTGCCTGCCTTCTGCCCTTGGTGGGTGACCTAATTCAGCCTACCCCACCAGCCTCCAGGGCCGAGTCACACAGCCATGTATTTAGTGGCAGAGCCACAGGATTTTGGTTAACATCATTCTCGGTTGTTTTAAGAACACCATGAGAGCTGAACTGCTGTGTCCCAGGAAAACATGTTACCAGCATAGAAAAATCACTGCACTGGAGTCCAGCTTCTTCACAAATGAAGAAACTAAACTGAACGAACAGCTTGTCGGAGGGCCCCTCTGACTGTAGGGTCCATTGGCCTTTTTGCCCATTTTGATTTTAATATTCTTAATTTTTCTTTGTTCTCCCCCCCCCCCACTATCTCTTTATTGATGCCTCTTGGTCTAGTTTTCTGCTACCTGGGGATTAGCTGCAGTCAGCATCCATACAGGACACAAGACACATGTGTGCTGAGGGAGAGGCACCTGCAGGAAGACCCTGCTTTCTCCATCTCACCACCAGTCCACACCTGGCACGGGGATTGCTGCACCTGCAGATGTGGTCAGGGAGGAAGGGTCCACAGGGCCCTTGTGCCTCCTCGCTCTCCCTGGGAAGCACCGTGTTCTATTGGAGACAGTGCCTCACTGCAGGCATCTGTGCTCCCGAGCAGCAGGACAAATACCCTGGACCTGTGTGGTCCCGCGGGGCAGTGCACCTCCATCCTGTGGTACTCAGTGTTTGCCCTAAGAGTGGAGAATGGATACAAATACAAGGATTTTCCCCTCATTTTGCACTTCAGCAGTTTTGCCTGTCAGAAGCAGGGAGTGCACATAGCTGTAGCGACATTCTGCTTCCTACATGCTGATGTCCCCACGTCCACCTAGGGCTCTACACAGAACCTCACAGAGGCATGTGGCAGGTCACCAGGTGCAGTCCCTTAAAATGGCAGACAGAAACAGGGCAGATCTCCACTGAGCAGAATTAAGGGTCACTTTTACAAGTATCTCTTTTCTTTCAACGGGAAGGCCTGTGGCTCCATTCTTCTGCAGCTATGGAGTTCACTATCCTGTTTCGCTGATCTCCTGACCACATGTTATCTTACTCCAGCTCTCCCAGGACCCAGACCAGGGGACACGTATGGCGGCTGGTGGTGGAAATCCAGAGGAAAGGACCTCTGTAGTGCAGTTAGCACAGGTAGAGTCTGTTCTGTGTGTGTCTGAAAACAGTGGTCTATAAGCACTCAGGTTCCTCTCCTCCCTCCTTGTCTGAGACCAGAAATCTAACATGCATGTTCACATTGTCCTTTCCTGTCCAGTCAGTGGAAGAAGAGAGGAAGGCTAGCTGAATATGAGATAACAGAATTTATTCACCACTTTCCCAGAAAGATGGTTTTAGAATAAAATTTGTGAACTAGTTGAAAATACTAAAGTGAATCTGGAGTTTCTGTAGGATACTATTCAGTGTGACACCCAGCTTTAGACCATGGAGGCTGCCAGCACCAGATCCAGCAGAACCTTTTAAGAGGTTCACTGTCCTGGTTGCATGGTGGCCCATGTCTGCTGGGAACTTTGTGGGAACCATCCCACCTTACTGGTGGTGCCATTGGGTGGCAGGTGCTCCTGCTTCAGCTTGTGCTTTCTGCATGCATTTGTTAATTACTCAAGGATGACTTTGTTTTAATGCACCTACTAAGCTGTGCTAACAGTGGTATCAAAGAGAAAATCGGTACATTTTCTTCATCTGACAGAATAAAGAACTCAAGAGATAAGGAGATGTAGGTTACGAATGGGGGTCGGTGCCAGGGCCATTAGCACGTGTCATGCTCTGGGTGCAATCCCCAAGTAAAGCAAGTAACCTTGGGCTATGCCAAAACAAAAAACACAAAAACACTTCTGTGTCTAGAAGTAGGGTAGACTTGATAATGTTCCCATTTGCACTGGGGTCAAATGTGCACTTGAGACACTGACTCAGAGGGTACCAGGCTGCAGAGACTGAGGAAACGTCATATGCTATGAGTGGTGCCTTAATGCAGTTTACGTGAAGTACGGAACTACATACAAATGAGAACAGGCCCAAGACCCAGAGCTCTGATGTTTCCTGTAACCCTCTGGAAAGCAGTATAGCAGTATATATCGTATTACTGTAATTCATTTCAGCTAGATGCAGAAAATATCAGGAGGGTCATTCAATAGGACACTGAGGGGCTGAAGTGCAGCATCAGCGTAAGTGTGATAGGTTGTAATCAAAAGTGATGTCCAGGGCTGCCACTGACGGGAACATACAATGGCTATAAAGGTGGCTACAAAATAGCACCATGATTACCTTTCTGTAACATTGAGTTTGGAAGTGCAGTGTTAGTGGCTCTCCCTGCCAAGCAGGCTCTGCATTACTTTCATTTCCTTCTTTAGACCAAACCTGAAAGGCAATCTGAATTTAGGAAAGGAAATTTCTATTACAGTTCCTAGAGAAAGGTCAGTTGAATACTTATGCACTAAACTATGTGATCCACAGAAAAGGAATCAAAGTGCAGGCCATAGAGCCCAAGGTGGATCCTAGGAGAGCTGCAGCCCACTGTCACAGTGGAGTTCAAGAGTCCAGGTTGTCACCTCTCACGAATGTCAAGCAAAGCCAGACTTTTAAGTTCTCTAAAGGTCAACTGGTCTTAAAACTCTGCAGGACACCAAAGCAAACATACCGATGGCAAATAAACCTATGAAGAGTTGCCTCACACTGCTGGTGATTAGTGCAAACTGAAACTGCTAATGAACCATATTGCTTTCTGCTTGTAACAAATTCTTCTGTTGTCCTTCCAGTCTCTTCTGGCATCAGAGGAGCTGCCCTTTGCCTATGAACAATCTGCATGGAGTGTGGAAGAATTAGGCCCCTTCCTACGTCTGTGCCTCATGGACCAAAACTTCCCTGCATTTGTGGAAAAGGTAGAAAATGAACTTAAAAAGCTGACACAGGGATGAGAAATTAAGGCTTGGACATATAAAAAGAAAGGAACTTTCAAGTGTTGAAAGAGTGTTATTCCAAACAACTTTTATCAATGTTTTATTGTTAAAAACAGGTGAATCCACTTTTTATACAACATTGCACTTCAACAATTACACAAAACGCAAAGACATGCATCTATAGTTACATACTGCATGAGAACCCGGTCAGGTTATAAAATCTACCACCAACCATTAAATCAATGTGAAAAAAAGTACAGTGCCAAACCAAAAGTATAACTACTTGCATAGAATCCCACCATGCTATAACATGTCAAGGTCATTGAAAACAAAAGGTAAATTATAAAAGTTTGCCTTGACTGAATGTACAAGAGTAAGGTTCAACACATCAGTGCAAAAGGATTTAAGAATTTACAGATTAAACCAAAGAAAAAATAGTTATTAAAAAGCAATCATACATATATACTGCAATTCATTACATCCATTCACTGGACTTTTTCCAGCTTCTTAAAGTAATAGGTTAAGCCCTTAATTTACAGACTTTATATTACTTATCTTTATGTACCAGGAACTGCAGTTTCCTCATCCAATAACATACAATAAGGAATGAGTATCAGCAGCTTAAAAATGAAACAAGCATTTATTTTGGATTTCCCATCCCCAAAAATATAAATATAGATATATATATTTATATACTGTATATATCTGTAGGTTTGCTGTACTTTACAAAAATGTACCACTGGATGGCAGCAGTGCACTTTAGAGCTTTGCCAATTTAACAGCTGCATTAAGTAAAAAATGGCGCATGCAGGATCTGATCCTCCAAGGACCTTTTCACTTCTATTTAAATATTTTAACAAAGGAAAAAAAGCAACATTCACAGCACATCAAGCCCAAAATAGTTTACACCTTCTACAATGAAGCATTGTTTAGAATGTATCTGGCTAGGTCATCCTTAGAGGAGAGGCTAAATAAGGCATGCTTTAGACGGTCATTGTGTTGCTCACTTGAAGGGGAGAGATCAAAGAGGTCCAAGCAGAAAATTGAGCAGGTCATGATGCCCCCAGTTTCAGGAACCTAAAGATCTATAAAGAAAGGAAATTAAAAGGGAACAAACGTGCACTGTCACTTAGGACTAGACTAAGTGCCCCATAAAATAAAGCTTTGTTTCCAACAGCATGCACAGGGATGTGGTGTGAAATTCTGATCTCCATGTGCCTCTGAGGACAGCATTGTGGCCCCTGCTTCCTGGCCACTGTCCTTGTCTTGCCCTCTGAAGCAAAGCAATGATCACAGGCCTCTGACAATCCATCTGAGAAGGTGAAATTTTATTTCCTTACCTCTTTTTAAAAGATATAGGTACACGGCAGTGCGAAGTATTTATTTTGAAACACACAGTTTTGAAATGGCATTTATGTAAATGTGTGAATCAATGCAGCTGAAAAATGCCGCTTTCCAGCACTAAACTCGGCAAGCAGAATTTGTTCTGTCAATATCAGCTGCTCTGAAATAAGGTTCAAAGGTCTAGCCACATTAACACCAACTACTGAAAGAACTTATGACAAGGTCAACAGAAGTACAATTCATTTGAATATAGTTTTTAAATCTCTAAAGAAGGCCATACTTACATTGTAAGCAGTATTTAATTTGTGTTTCTCTGGCGCAAGTTTTTATCTTTGTGATTGTTGGTAGAGTTGGTTTTCCTTTGGAGGAAAAATTGTATTACGTGAGTTTAATTAGTTATAAGACTTGAAAGTAACACATGGAAATACAGGGGCTCTTTCACTTACTGCCATCCCTGGGGTAGTAAGAAATTTTACTGCACAATTCTTAATGTACTTTGTTCCCTTAAGAAAGCCTTTGACTCCCAAGGCAGACAGTGCAGAGGTGACTTGCCCTCTGATTTTGCAACTGTATTTAATTGCTATTAACTTTTACTCCACTGAATACCATTACTACTTCTCAAGTGACAGAAGACAGTCATCAACTGGCTGTGCTGTGCCCTCCCGCCCCCCTTCACTAACATGGACACTGCCTCGTGCTGCTTTGTCCTCAGCACTAGGAGGCTGCCACTATGATTCCACACTTGCATAACACCAGCAGATGTTAATGAGGCTGCATAGTTTATGATTGAAATTAGCTTGACCAAAACATGTGGCATCATTAATACACGTCATCTCCCCTACAGTATCAATTTAAGCACACAGAGCACACAAAATCCTAACCATTTTTGCATGGTATCCTACCTGTACAGCTAAAACAAGACTGCAGCCTGCCTTGGAAATCAAATGGTCGAGTCAGATCTGTCAGTAAGACATCTTCACTGCAACATTATACTCACTGTCTTCCCCTACAGTCTTAGCCTCGTCATTTAACTCAACTACAAATACAATATAATTCAATCAAAGTCCACTAAAATACTTACATTGGCCCAGCTGGTTCATCATCTATGTGGGTCATCAGTTAATAAGCCATGAGAGATAAGAAAAGAAAGGAGAAAACTGTTAAGACTCTGCATAAGGATTAGCAGACAACAAATTGCAAGTGGCAAACATGGCTATTCATAGCGTTTAAAGGCCATTCCATCTGGAGGTGCAAAACACTCATGGAGTTATTTCTAGTTCAAGTTTAATGGCAGGTATGTTGTTTCAATGGTTTTAGTTAACACTTTGAATGCTTGTCATGAAAAACTGCAACTGTAGCGGACAGATAGGCTGCAATATCATTATACTCATCTTGTCCCCACGTTCCAGTGGTTCACTCTTGGATGAGAAGACAAACCAACATTTCAGTTGTAAAATCCTGCTGTTTGTTTTCTTGTGGTGAACACATGTACTTTTGGCTCCGTCCTACACTGAACATGGATGTGTACATTCTGTCCTTTTAGCCACACATCCTCACGCCCCCAAAAGGCATCCTGCTTTTCTTGGTGTTTTGTGATCTTTAAGAGTCTTAGTCTGGAGAATGAGGCTGAAGACAAAGTGGTAATAGTTTAACTGACTGTGGGGTCAACCACACCAGCAACAAGCACACATGTACCAGAGGATGTTCTGTACCACACCGTAGAGAGCTCTACAATGACAGCCCTCTAGGAAAGACTTCAGGTACAAAAAGTCAGGCTTGTGCTTATGCACTGGCCACAACCAGAACAGCCATGAGGTTGTTGTGGGTTTTTTTTTTTTTTTAAATAAAAAAGCTTATCTGAGCTTACAGGCCTTCTTAAATTGGTATTTATGATTCTGATTTGTAAGGTTTTCCTGTTTCAACTAAGGGCAACTTGATCCCTTTTCAGAGATAAAAGTATAGGAAACAAGGAAGTGCTCTTAAGTTTGCTTTTACTATATAAATTGTGGTGGACGAAAGGATTCACAAGTTTGCACAAAAGCTGTCTAGAAAACCTCTCAGCAGGATTCCACAAGAGGGCTTGGTGCACATGAAGCAGTTATGAGGTTACAGTCTCAGTGGAGGCGTCTGCAGGAGCACACGTCGGGAGTAATGTCTGTCACAGGGAGACATTGCTCCACCTGTTCCTTCCAGGCAACGGAGAGGCAAAGCCACCGCCAGCACACACAGTGACTGGAGCAAAAGAGGATTTCAAAAAGAAAAAGAAAAAAAAAAAAAAAAAAAAAAAAAAAAAACAAGAACCACAAACCAACAATTCATCAGCCAAAACAATAGGCTAGCAACACACCAGTGTCCACAGGAGTCCATTACTAACAACAGCACACTACCAAACAGACAAAGAACAAACTAGGACTTGAGGACACTTGGGATATGTGTACTGTGTGTGCAATAAAGAGCTACAAAGACACCAACTGGTGAGACACATACGCCCAGCCTAAAACCTCCCTGCATAGCAGTCTGCTGCTCAGTGCCCCACCACGCCAGCTCTGCAACATGCCAGAAGCTAAGCATCTTAGGGAGTTAAAGGAGAAGACACAGGAGCCAACTTACAGTATTTTTAGTGCTCTCGCTGTGCACCCAAAAAAACAACATTCTAATGCAAAATAGAGGAATAAGGATACCACCAGTCTATTCCCAATTTTTAAAAAGTGGGAGAGGGAGAATCACAATAGCAGGCTAGCCTTTTCCAAGTAGGACCCTATAGGCACCAATCCAAGCATCTGACCTTTTGCAGAGGGAGTCTTCCCTGTGGCTGCTTAGAAATGTCACTCTCAACCTGACAAGCCACTAACATGCAAGGGGCTGCATGTCAGATAGCAGCCATAGTGCCTGTGGCATAGCTGCCATGCCTGCAGGTGGGAGCAGCTGTGCTTCATCACGCTGTACTCTGAATCCCAAGGGCCCCTCTCCCACTGAGGAGAATAAAGACAAGAGCCTTGTCTCCCTCCACTTCTGCACTGAATCACTACCTGAAGCATCACTCTCCCTTACAGGTCAGACAAAAACAAAAAACAAAAAGGTGACTTGACCCCTAGAGTAGGGAAGTCAGCAGAGAAAGAAAGAAAAGAACTACAGAAAAAAGGTATGAAAATCAAAGTAAATGAGGGATTAAACAGCAAACTGAAATCCAAATTAGTTGTGAAAGTGAATGAAGTAAACTTGAAAGTAAGTGTTAACATCATGAACTGTGCATTGTATAGACTGAAGCGGAGATTAAACAAACTCCAAAAGCATGCATATCGCTCACTTACCACCATGTTTTAAGGGTTTGATGCAATTGAGGGGGGAAAAAAAAGAAGTCATAGTAACCGATAAATATCAACATACCCCAAACCCTCAGGCCAAACATAGGCACCTTAAACAATGACAGGTTCTGGGGACTCTGTAGACCTGTGGCTAGAAAGGAAGAGGATGGGGAGATGGAGACAGATGCCCGAAGCAGAATTCCTGATGGAACCAGTACATGGTCTCTGCAGGTTCTCTTCTCCCTCAGCCCACCTCTGGAACCCACCCTGCAGCCTAGAAGATGCTCTGCAACGCCTAATAAAGAACATTGCCTGGCACAATGTCACCTCTAAAAAGATGGCTTAGAGTCAACACAACTGAGAGCTGACTGTGATCAAAGCTCCTCTGTCACTGGATGCACTTCCAAGAGGGTGGGGTTCATGGGTCTTAAGCCACTCCCATTTTGCTTGATCTAACATTAAACCAGAGGGAGATGGTTATTTTTGGTCTTCTCGCCTTTGGTCCTGCTGCACTTTCTCTGTAGAGTCACTTATTACTGGCCCAGGTGGTCCATAGTGAAGAGATGAGTGTGTTCTGAACATCACTTTACAGCCATGCCCTTGCCTATTATAAAGCTTCACATGCTACCAAACACTCTGACCAACTAATAGATTTTGAACATTGTAACCAGTTAAATCTAACACGTTGAAAGGAGTCTGGCGTCAGCAGTCATCAAATCCAAAAATCCAAAATCAGAAATCTCAAATCCTCAGGTATCTTCACCAGTAACTTAAGGATCCCTGGAGCTCACTTAGGAGAACGATATGAGCAAGAAAGATAAGAAACTCTGATGCCAAGCACTTTTTCTTAAATCTGCTCCTCCAGCTGTTTTAATTTAATGTCTGTGAGGTCTCTAAAATTTCCAGCACAACCCCAGTGGCTGGGCAGCATCACAACATGTCTCAGGGATACAGAGGGAGTTTCGAGCACACGCACAACTGGTCTTTGTGTTTGGTCAGCTCAGAGCAGGTGTGCTCCCAGCAGGTGTCTGGCTGTAATGTGGACGGAAGGCTAAATCGGTTCAGGGAATAATCAGAGTGAAAAATTAAGGCTCTTATCTGGCTCCATGATTCACTACTCCTAAAATCTCTTGAGCTAATGCAGAGAACCCCTGGAGATGCATTACTGAGCACTGACCAAAGACTGTGGCAGAATCTAAAGGGCAACTGTGAGACTCCTGCACCACGGCCAGTGACACCAGGAGATGAGCAGCTGACCCCCATCCTGTGCAATCTCAGGATGAAAAGCCATCAAAGCTTTTCCAGTGAAGCCCATTTAAGCTCTAAGTTAAATGTGTATATTTTTATATTTTTGTACTATCCGCTGAATGCTTATCTTACTGGTGATGAGTTCCCAACAACTGAGACTGTCAAAAATATATTATGAATTCATATCAATTCAGTAAGTCTGAAATGAGCAATAGGTATTTACAATCAAGCACTGAGGTAGTAGTGAAAAGGCACGTCAGGCCTGCCCCAAAAAAAAAAAAAAATCCCATTTCCACAGTGGCATAAATAAGCCTGCACTTTACCTCTTCTAACTCCCCAAGTTTGTTTCAGAATGTGTCTGTCTCTTCATTCATTCCAAAAGAAGGTAGGTATGTATATGCATCTGTCTGTAACTTCAGGGGGAACAAACGAGAACACAGTCACTGAATGTCTTTCCTATGAATTTCATCAGAGTTAAAGGGAAACTGGCTAAAGCGGGAGAGGGAAACACAGCATAAGGGAAGCTCACCAAAGAACCAACTTTTATTTTGTGGTACCAGGGATTAAACTCACAACCTAACACTTCCAGGCAGGCACTATGTCGCTGAGCTAAATTTCTGGCTCCCTAGAACCAACTTCAAAAAAAAAAAAAAAAAAAAAAAAAAAAAAAAAAAAAGAAAGGAACAAAGATCACCCCAGGAAGGGGTGTGGAGCAGGGAAAGTTTACGGGAAGTACAGAGACGAAGGAATTGGGATGGGAATGCTGGGGCAAGGGCAGGGATGTAGAGGAGGAGTCTGGATCACACTAGCTGATAGAAGGCACAAAGACAAGGCGGGTGCCGCAGTCATTCCAGCATCACTGATTTTTACCCAAGTCCAACCACGGTAAGGAAGTAGAACCTGTTTGCCTTAAGTATTCTCCAAAGAGATGAGCAAGGTTTCACTGGGCACTTCTGCCATCATGTAGCGTTCCTTCACTCTCTATTCTATTTTAGCTTAAGAGCTTATTTTCCCTCCAGGAAGTAGTTCAGAAGACTGGCTGGCCAGAGATGTCCCCTATAACAAACTGCTGGCCCCACTGAATTCAGTATCCAATGAATACCTTAAAAAAAGACAGTTGCGTCCCCAGGCAGGTGTGACTGCACTTGTCAGAACCCATCTGAACTGTTTCATAGGTCTCACCTAAGCATATACTGCACCTGCTAGGACAGCATCCTCATCAATAAAGTAGCTGTGTGAAGAAACCCATACTAATGTGTCATTCTCATAACAGCAGCAACCAGCCATGTCTCAAACCTTTAAAAGATTAGGTTTTGAAACCCATCTTTGCCATTGGTCATCTAACCTTTATAAAGGGCAGAATGAGGAAGGCAGTATTTAGCAAAGATGAAGCTTTCTGGAGGGTAAAGGCCCTTTTCAAGAATGAGGCATGAACGGTCCAAAGAGCAGAGCAGCAAACATGAAAGAGTCAGGCCACTCTCCCCTGCTTTATTCTTAGAGCACTTTGTCTTGGGAGTACTAATATGTAGCAGGAAAAAAAAAATTGGAGGAGAAAAAAGCATTTGAGTTACATGAAAATCCCAAGAATGGAGTTTCACATCATAGAAGAGGAAGTAAAACTGGGGACAGCCTTGTCACAGAGAACTAGATCACTGTCCAAGGCTCTGCTTCCAGCTGGTAACTACCCCAGCCTCCATCCAGCTCACTGCCCAAGCACATTGGGAGGGTTACCTGCCAGGCCTCCCTCAGGTGTAAAAGTATCAACAAAATATCTCTTCCCAACCTCAGCACTGATCAAGCACGGGAAGGGAAATTAGTTGTTGAGAAGGAAAAAAGACAGTGGTCACTGCTCTTAAATGTGTCCTTTCAGAGTCTCCCAGCAGTGGCATGCTTCTGAGGGAAGCTCTTTCCAAGGGAGCAGGAGCTCTCATTGCTCTCTATTGCTCTATGTGGGGCTGGGGGTGGCTCACAGACACACTACGACAAGTATACCAGCATAAGTCCCAGGACAGCCAGACCCTGCCATCATGGAGTGCAGGGACACGCTTTGGTGGTGGTCCACACATACTTCCCAACTGCTGACATTAGAGGGCAGGAAGGTGGGGATGAGGAAGTAGTCAGGAACCTGAAGCACAACTGATAATCCCTAATTACAGGGTTAGAAATGAATATCTATGACGAACAAATAAAAAATCCCTAAGGCTTTCCTGATTCTAAGCATGCCTTATAATGTAAGGCAGCTCTTGCTCTTTCTAATGCTAAGCAATTTGCTGCTATCTACTCTCTCCTTTCTGTCGTAATGAGATCCCAGCAGGAGCACTTTGCAACCACTGACTTTGTTCAGAAAGATGAACTTCTCAGACATTTCCCACCACGCTTGTCTGAGACACAGACAGAAAAACCAGGTGACAGCTTAGGCACCTACCAGAGAGACAGACAAGCCAAGGCTGGCTTGTCCCAGTGGCTTTCCTCAGATGAAGCGTGGTGATCCACAATGGCTACAACAGGCAACCAAGTAACACCCAATTCCAAACCTTAACTCCACCTGTGATCTTGGGGTGGCTTCTAGGCTTGGCTTGGATTCTCCTCAAGCTCAATCTGTCTGCTAAGCTGTACTGAAGGAGTACAGAACTGAGCAAAGAGACTGACAGCTGCCCTTTTCCCACATGGACTTAAGGGCAAGGCAAGGGCTTTGGAGAACACCTATCAAAGATAGCTAATTATAGTTTTTAGTGGCAAATACAAAATATCTTAGGGGTAGAAGGTTAGGAACCAGTATAAACATCTTCCTTCTTTCACTGGAAGAACCTAATATTCTTATAGTTCTCTCTGGGTACTTGGCAACCACCCCAAGTAAGCAACCCCAGCATTATTGCTTTGGATGGATTTTCTTACCGTCGGGAACCTCATCTGGCCTCTTCCTCTTCTCATACACAACAATGATCACCACAAGGATGATAATTTCAGCCAAAATTCCCAAAAAAGGCCAGAGTGGGGCCAGGTGGCTCCGTACCCTGAGGATTGTGACAACAGAGGCAGTGCCGACAGAGTTGGTCGCATTACATTCATACTCGCCAGGGTCTTCTGTGATCTGGAGATTTGTAATACTCAGCTCAGTGTAATTCTCCTTGTTGGTAATGAAGAAGCGGCCAGAGGAATTGACAATGTCCTGCACAAGTGGGGACACACAAAGGTCAAGTAGGTGAGTCACTGGCTGGGGAGGGGGTACCGTCCTCCACTATTTCTAAGACACTGGCTGCAGTGAGACAACAATGTCTGGGATCCCATCTTTGTTCAAAGCATTCTGAACAGTTCATTGATGAATGCCCTTCAGTGGCAATCTCTAAACCAATAAATCAACAAACTTCACACATGCTTTTCCCCCTCCTTCACCACTAGTCCTTCCAGAACTCTCCAGCTGCTGGAGTGCAAGGAGGACCACAGTCTAGTGACCCCAAAAATGTAATGAATGTGACTTCCAGCGTCAGGTGAGAAAGCAAAGTGGGAAGCAGGGCAGGATCCCTCTGCCATTGCACATCTGAAGATCTCAGGTCTGATATCAGCAGCATTGTTTGACTTCATGCTTGGTGAATCTAAACTCCTTTAACAATGCTGAGACTTGCTCTTAAGCATGGAAGAAATCCCTAACTTCTCTTTCCTTTCAGACCTATAGTGTTAATTACAAATACCTATGAGGTTACACTATGCACTTCATATTCCACTGAAGGGAAGGTCATAGACCTGGGAGAGATGACATAAAAGATCTTGACCTCAAGGCGGAAAAAGTCCAGCAAAAGGTATGTATGGAGTGCTACAGGGCACAGAGGCAGCAGCCACTACAAGGGCAGACGTGTGCACTAAGAGCCTCTAGGAAAGCCTGTGGACCAGGTCTAGGGCATTCCCCCAGATGAAGGCTGCACATGTGCAAGGAGGAATCACAATGCCCAAACGGGTTTGGGTACAGCACCAATCTTAGGGCACACTAGCAGGTTAACATAGGCCTGTGTGTTTCCACCCTATAACAACTAAGACAGAAACGGGAGAGTATGAAAGAAAACGTTACCCCCAGTCACTGTGTTTGAGTGTTGTAAGGCTGCAATTCAAGAAATCACAGCCTTCAAAAGCAGCTAACGTGAAGTTCTAAATTCCATCCTTCAGAAGATGAAAATGTTCACTGAATCATTTCAACCTGCTTAGGCGAAAGCTAAGGCTTGCCTTCCCAGGGCCTAGCAGAAAGAGATGGACATTTTCTGGCTAGCACCTGAGTAAATTCAATGTATTACTGATCTTTTAAGGGCCTGTCTTGAAAAAGACTCAAATCACACCTTCCCTTTCCCACTCTGTCCTGATTTCCTTTCCAACAGGGCTCTGAAATCCAACCATCATTGCTCATGTGCAATTGCTGTTAACACTTCATGATTACTATCAAGAGGTCATGGAATAGGAATAAATGATGGGACTTGGGGGGGAAAAACGCAATAGCACTTCTGGTTACTATATAATCTTCCCAAAAGAGCTGGACTGGATGATCTTACTGATTCTGAAGACAAAAAAGAGGATGTGTGAAAAAGAGGGTGACAATCAAAAAAGAGGATTATGTTAAGCACAGAGGCCTGGGAATAGAAGGAATGTACCACATCCTTCTGACAAGAAAATTGGTTAGAAAGCCACAAAACCAACGTATGAGAATCACACTGACTGTACAGACGCTATCAGAATCATCCCACAAATTGGAAAAGAGGTTTTCCTTACCCTTTTCTGGGGCAAATATAATCAAATTACCAGTGCTTAAAACTACCTTCGGGTATCCTGTTGCCTCAATTCCTTACGGGTATTTTTTTTAGTTCTTAGAATATATGCACAGTTGTTCTCAGTCCTTTGTCCCAAAAAATAAGACAGGTACTCTACTGGACTAGAGTAAGAGCACATTCCCATTGGCTTGAACCACTGATGGTACATGGTTAGTAACTGTCCCACTGGGCAGCTTGTGCCACTGGTGGTATAAATGGATTTAATCACGTTTATCAGTCTTTTTACTAATAAAAATAAAAGGCTGCCCGATGAGACAGTAATTCATATACCACTGGGTGGCTCAAGTCACCCAGCAATGGGACATATACATTATAGCCTCTTTGGGAAGGTGTTAAAGGTTAGGCTCATCTCTTTCTGTGTCGTATCCTGAAGGCAAGCAACTTAGTCTCTTCCCAGACAGTCCATGCTGGACACATACTGTCCTCCAGAAGCATGGTATAATTCATTCCCCACTCTAGAAAGACTGGCCCAGGTCATGCGCACATTGAAGGTACAGCCGTTGCAGCAACTGGTCAGATGCTTGGGCCTCCCTAGGTGAAATTCCAGCAACCAGAGAGACCTAGGGATAGAAACCCAGGGCTCCTCCTACTCACCACGAGCATACCATTCTCCTTCTTGCGCCATATCCACTCTGGGTAGGGGTAGCCAACTGATTTGCAATACATCATGGCATCCTGCCCCTCATTCTTATTCTCACTCCGTTTGTGGCCAGTGATATCAGGAGCAGCTGTGAAAGAGTTCACCACAATTACCATGGTAACCTACTTTGAACAAGATACAAAGGCCTTATCTACTGGCCTTTGGCACACCCTCAGGTTTGATAAAGAACATTTCAGGTCAGAACACGGTAATAAGGCCAACCCCATTCCTTATCTCCACCCCCCCCCAAAGCAGTCAAGTAGGTATCAGGATTAATCATGTATGAGATTCTATTAACATAGGTGGTTCTTCAACCTCCCAGAAAAGACACATCCCAACTGTCCTAAATTATACTCTTAATCACTTAATAGTTTACCTTAAGCATCATCTGGACAGTGTGTTTGTGTACTATCCTAAGCACTGCTCAAGCAGGTGCCATTTAAACTAGTTGATTCTTGTATTAGATACATTTGATAAACTTGCTTCTATATTTACAGTATCTTACAAGAAATAATAAAAAATGTACAGTTTTTAGTCATCTTGTATTTGAATAACTGGATTGGAAGTGGTTAAAACCCAAAACAAAAATTATCGTCTCTTTTCCTCATCCAGTTTTCCCCTTAAAGTAACTATAGATGTCCTATGTCATATTCCCTTAAGGAAATGAGACCACTTTGATAAAATATGTAAAACCAAGTCCTAAGCATGCAAACACAGAGAAGGCTTAGAAAAGCTACTTGATGAGTATCAGTGACCCTCCAAGAAATGAGGGATCCAGCCAGTTAGCTGGGCTTTATAAAGGGACACGCATGAACAGGAAATTCAAACAGTGTCTCAGAAGCTTTAGTTATTAGCAGGTTAAGAATGTGACTTGGAACACCTAATTCACAGCAATCTCAATGAATCCTATCTTGGGTGAGTTTCCACACATGCCAGCACCTGTTGGGTGTGCTCTACTTTTATGGATCACTAAGGAAGTAAATAGCAGCTATAATCTAAAAATTAGGTGAGTTTCAAAAATCCAAGAAGCATGAGATGGGGCTAATTCTTTGAATTTAACCTTTTATTTCAACTGTGTTTTAATTACCTGAAAGCAATGAAACTCAAAGTAGGGCAGAAATCACTGTGTTGGCCAAGAAGTGAAAAACAATCAATAGGCTTTGATCCAAATTCCAGTTTTGCTGGCTCCTTAATTATACTATACTCTGGGTTCTATATTCATTATCAAGTGGACATAATGCAAGACCCTGCCTACCTCCCAGTGTTCTTGAAGATACATAAATAAGTTGTCAAAACATTCACATTGTAACTGCAAACTCCCATAGAATTGTACTAAATCATGTTTAAGCCCACATATTACTTTTGACTAGCTTGGCTTTTCTTGGCTTAGAAACAACCTAAGGTTCTATCTCTCACAGACCATGCTACTGAGGCACAGCTGGTGCTGTACCCAACTTCAATAGATACCTGGACAGGAATGCAGCAGCAAGGCCTCCAGCTGCCCCTCTCACTAGTCATTGCCAAAATGAGGCCCACTTAGCACCACTCAGTGTGGACTGTTTTCTAGACCAGATGTTATAAAAAACACCATTTTGTTTTTCCTGTCAAAATTCTTTGAGTAGTTACGCTGGCTTTATCTTTTCCAAGTCAAACTTCTCACAGCCACTGTCACTTTTTAGGCTTATTGGTCACCTTTCTTCAGAGCCTTCTATGGTCAAAACATTCTAAGTAGTAAGCTCCATAGTTATACCATAACCAAAACACCATAATGGCGAGGCACCAAGAGATGTTATATGCAGAACTGCAGGAAAGTTACTCCATGCTGATACATTTGCTGAGCACCATTTACAGGCCAGGTATATTACAGAGGGGTCAGGAAAGGCCTTTCTGATAAGATGTGTTTTAGCACAGTTGTGAAGAAAATAAGGCAGGAGGTTACATGTATGGAGGAAGAACACTCCAGAGAAACAAAGCTCTGAAGCATTTGTATTGTGTTACACGTAAGAAAGAGAAAGGGGAGTTTGGCTGGAACACAGTAACCAAGAAGACAGAGGAAAAATTAAGAGACTAGAGACCCCTATCAGCCTAGACTTTGCAGGTCACTGTAACGACTTTTGACATTTATAAACTGAGTCTGCCAGAGCCACTGGTGGCTTCTGAGTCTGTGCTGTGACTACCATACAGAGACAGTGAGGAGGTGGTGACTTGTACCATGCAGGCAGGAAAGAGGGCTTTCACAGGGGCAACAGCAGTGGAAACAGATAGAGGTGCTGAGATCCTGGACATATTCCAGTGGCTGTTAACACAGCTGTTAATGAAGTGGATGTGCGACATGAGAGAAAAAGGAGTCATGGATAACTTCGAGGTTTTGGCCTGAGCAACTGCCAAGAATAGAACTGCCAAAAGGAATAGACCTGCCAGTTACGAAGATAAGGGGAGACTGCAGAAAACCCTGAGTAGTTTGTTTTGGTTTTTTGGTACTGGGGATCAACCTCATAACCTCACACTTACAGGCAAGCTCTTGAACTGCTGAGGTAAATTCCCAAATCCAACCCTGAGCAGTTTTCATTTGCTTGTTTTGACTGTGCTTGGGAGGACAATAATGATAATGTCAAGATCAAGAGCTTGAGGTTAGGATGCATAGCTAATGCCCAAGTGAGGCTGACAAGTAGGCAGCTCAGTATGAAGTCTGATATTCAGAGATGTTACCATGGATAGAGACAGAATTTTCAGAAATCAGCTTGCGTGTGGTACATTTTTCCATTTCCATTTTCCTTTGCACCCAAAGAACACCCAGTCTGGCCCAGTTATTTGAGGAATTCTATAAAGCACTGTGACTTCAGTACTATCAGCTTTTGCTCCATCCTCAAACCAGTCACTGAAAGTTCAGTTGGCATACATGGTTCCATGGCCTCTAACTGGTCACTATTCTGCAAGCACCTGAGCTGAAAAGGTCTGAAGCAGGTTTTGGGGGCTGGTCTTTGCTCCTTCCTTGGTGTTTATTAGGAGACACACCACTTTTCCTTGAGCTTATCTGTTGCACTGTTCTGAAGATGCTTCTGTGTGGATGTTCTCTGCCAGCTTGAAGCTCTGGTGGTACCTGCATAAGTGTCCCATCAGGTGGCTTGTACCACTGGTGGTACAAATGGGTCTAATCACTTTTATCAGTCTTTTTACTAATAAACAATAAAAATCTGCCCAATAGGACAGTCATGCATGTACTACCAGTTGTTCAAGCTATCCAGCAGCAAGACATATGAATTACAGTCCTGCCATGAATGTGTTAAAAGTCTACTCAGAACTTAGCTAAACCATACCAAGCTTCAAGCAGAGCAGCCTGTAAGAATGAGTTCCCAAGAGATTGATTGCTATATTCCTATCTTACTAAAGAACACTAAATGGAATGTAAGAACCCCATCTTCCTAACATACTCTGGAGAACAAAGCTCTGAGTATTCATCCTTCAGATGATAAAAGCATCACCAGAGCTGAATGGAAGCCACATCACTCTATCCATAAAGGGAATGGTTACAAAACTGACATTTTAGCCTCTGAATCACTTCAAAGATCTGTCACTTCTCTTTTATAGCAGCTGCTCAATCAGAATACCTGTTTTTGCCTCACCAGCTGGTGAGACAGTGCACCCACAGTAAGGAAGGAAGCGCTCAGAGGACACATCTGTCAGTAGTCAGAAAGAGGCCCCTTAAGAGCTCAGGTCTACATAAGAATCTTTCAGTTCTTTGATATGTCACTCTTGAAGGGGTGAAGCCTAATTGCCCTTCTGAGTTGAAGTTCTAATGAACAAAATAAAGCATGAATAAAGGTATCCAATTCTGAAAACGAGTTCATAAAAGGCACTGTGACTTTTTCTTTGCTCTCAAACCATACACCCTGGGGGAAAATTAGAAGCCATGGCAGAGGGACAGAGAACTGGTGGGAGACTCCTGGAGTGACACACTAAGGACTCCACTGTAAGAGTGGGACTTACAGCCCTGCTGAGCTTCAGGGGACTACAGCTGCAACAACAGCACACTGAACTCTGAGGACACGTACCACACTGCTCTCTTAATTCTGAACCTACAGAAACTGTGATGTGTTATCTTAGACCACCAAGTTTTGGGGTAATCGATGATGCAGGAATCAATAAATATATCAACTGATGACGATTGGAAAACTGAAATTTGGAAAAGTGATCTGGCGTCTAAAATTACACTCTTAGTAATACTACAGTCCAATTCAAGGCTAATTCCAGAGATTACACATTTTGTGCCTTCCTAAGAAGAAAGTAAATCAAACAAGAACAGGGTCCATGAAAAATTTTAAGAATACAATACACAATCCTGTAACTGCACAGCAAATTGCCCACATGACATCTTTACTGACAGATACAGGAGGACTCCTTGGGCCTGAGGAGGCTGGTTTACCTGGCAGAATAGGTACCACATGGAATAATGTAACGAACACAACTTTGCACTTAAAGCCAAAGAAATCTGGGCCATCTCAAGGAAGAAAATGGCGCAGGCTTCTGGCTCAACAAGCTTCTCCACACAGAGGTGGCATGCCCTTGATTGTGGAGCTGACAGCAGTTTAGGACCACTACTACTTTCAGTAGATGAAACCACTGAGGAAAAGGAACACACATTCTCTTTCAAACAGTGAGTGGTTCTCAATGGTGGCTGCACATGATGATCAACTAAGGTGCTTTCTCACCAATGTGTGTATCCAGGCCACACAATGGACAAATTTAATCAAAGCTCCAGCATCTCTTCTGCCCCAGCAATGGAAGATACAAGCAGGGACTATCCCCACAAGACAGGAAAATGAGTGGGCAGAGATATGGAGTACTTCTAATAATAAATACTATCATTATTTAGAATCAAGAATTATAAACCCTGCCAAGTTAGCATCTGTGTATGAGGGTAACTGAAGACATTTTTAGATGCCAAGGGGTTAAAAAAGTTATTGACCAAGAATCTTCTCTGAAAATTTTGTTGAATGACTTACTGCACCAACAGAAAAGTTAAAGAGTAGAGAATTATATGAAAGATTTGATGGTTAAAACTAGGTAAGCAGCATAAAGTCTAAAATTGTTACATACAGAGTAATATACCTAAATGCAAAATAGATTTGTAAGTTGTATGTAAAAAAATTTTTTTATAGTTTGAAACTGTGAAAGTGTATGTCAAGTATTCAGCGTATTGGGCAAACAGAGACTATTTTATTTTTTGCCATGTAATGTTATAAATAAAAATGCATGCTGTTATGCCACATGCATTTTAGATAAAAGTGCTTTGTCACTGTGGGCAAAACAAGTACAACGAAGACATTCTAAACGTTAACTTGGCAGAATTGGAAAATGGCACAATTCTGTTTCCTGTAAAAGAAAAAAGCTAAGAAGTTCGTAATGTTAATACTGATAATATAAGGAGAAAACTTCTAAAGGACTGGTTGGAGGTGGTATCTTTGAAATGCTGAATTGGAAAAACCCGTAATTACTGCTTCAAGTGGTCATTCATATAAATGAATTTGTCATTGAGTCAAGCACAAAAATAGATTATATATATTCCAAGTTTCTGGAATTGGAAGTCAGTGAAAATCCAAGGAAAATTAGCAAAACAAAAATACTAAGAAAGGGTTAAAATGTACATAAAAGATACACAGATAGGGGCTGGGGATTTAGCTCAGCAGCATAAGCACCTACCTTGCAAGCAGGCGGTTGTGAGTTCGATCCCCGGTACCAATAAAAATGAAAAAGACAAAAAAAAAAAAAAAAAGAAGATACACAGATAAAAGTGCATTATACCCATGAACTGGTTAAATTCCCAATTTTATTTTTAAATCTGTACTAGTGGAGCCCTATCTCAAAAAGACCCCCCCAAAAAAGTGATTTTGTGAACTTAAAAATTCACTGAGTAACTCTTCAATTAGAAAGAATACATATGGCGCAGGAGGGGGCGGGGGGTCTGGGATGTAGGTTGGTGAAGGTCCCGGGTGAATCTGAAGTACTCCAAGACAGTAACAGCATTTACCCCATTCAGCTGTGAAGACTGAAGGAGAAGAAAGAACCTAACAGTGCCTCCAGTAGTAAGTGCAGTCATGTTAGCTATTCTTGTTATTAAGCAAGGTCAGGGTGGTCATTCGAGAGAAGGAAATAACAAGCAATGTCCATAAACGTGCTGTTGTCCAGATGCCAATGGTGCCGCACAAATGTGACATACGCATTACTCCTCTCAATTATGCTCATCATCCCCATGCCCCATCTCAGCTGTCTGGACTCTGAGACTGGCCATCTGTGAAGCATGGACAATAGCAGGTGGAAACAAGGAAAACCCTCTTCCAGAAATCCTAACGTTTAGTGCTAAAAAAATATTAAAATGATAAGAAATCTAAGAAGCAGGGAGGGGAAAAACAAGACCAATGTGACTTTTATAGCCACAGATTGATTAGAGATGCCTGGTGAGGAGAGAGGTGGCTCTAATAAGTTAGTAGGCACACCTCTCTGAGAATGGGGTGCACCTCACACAAGAGGTTGTGTGTTTGCTGCAGAGGTTGTGATGACCACCAAAATCATAAATCAGATTCCTGGTTTCATGCATTAATCAAAGTGGACAAAGATGAGGATAGGGTTTGGGAGTCATGAGAGAAAATTTTGGTTTTTTATGTGTAAATTAAATAGAAAACTTGTTTGCTTTATGAGTGTATATTTTAATTTCAGAAAAGGAAGAAACAGGAAGAGAGGGGAAAAGAGGTAGAGGGATAAAGAATACAGGGTTACAAACTTTCAACATCTCCTAATTCACAAATCCTCTATAAGGTGCAGAGTCTGGAAGCCACCATCTCTGAAGTGTCATGAGGTCAGGTAGGAAGATCGCAGAAAAGCCAGGCTTCAGGCTAAGTCACAGCTGTTTCCTCTCTCCTAGCCAACCAGCCTCTACTTTTACCTCCACTCTAGGTCACCTGCCAAATACCTGAGAAACACAACCCTTACAGGTAATTCCAATGTCCCAGTTATACTGTGCCTCATTCCTATACTTTAAAATCAGAGGGCGAAAAAAAACCTAACTCAAATGCAAGGCTTTGTCACTACGTATAAATACATAATGTTCAGTTCTTGCCTTGGCCGAGCCCTATATATGTAACTCCCTATATATGTTCTGAGAGCCAGGAAAAGTCCCACAGGAAGAAAGGTGCTGTTATAGTTTGTACCTAGATGTCCCCTCAAAGCCTCATGCAGTCATGGGTGCAGGCTTTTTGAATTTGTGATTAATTCATTGTCCAATGCTGGGATTATGGGTATGAGTGCCATGCACACCCTAGGGTGAGTGGTCTACATTCAGTATAAGGGAGGCAAAGAGTCTTTGCATGCTCCTCTTTTTGGCCTTGCTACTTTTGCTGTCTTCCGGCCGCCATGAACTGTTGCCTCTGTGCCATGCCTTGGAGCCAGCTGACAATGGGCTAAAACCTCCACAAACTGTGAGCTAAATAAACCTTTCCTTCTTTAATTTTGGGTGTTGGGTACTTTGTGTTGGCAACAAAAGAAAAGTAACCAACACATGTGCAGAAGAAATATCTATCTTTGCTTTGAAGTGATGGCAGAGCAAAAGCCATAAAGGAAGAAGGCTCTCAGGACCTCTTTTCAGTAAAGAAGTCATTTATGTTTCTTGAATTCCCTGTGTTTTTCCTCTCAGGTACAATCACCTCTTATCTATTACTCAGTAGTTTCTAAACTCACTGTGATAAAAAGGTGACTGTCGGGGCTGGGGATTTAGTTCAGTGGCATAAGCACCTGCCTTGCAAGCAGGCAGTCATGAGTTCTATCCCCGGTACCGATAAAAAGGAAAAAAAAAAAAAAATGGTGACTGTCTTTAACTCCACCCTGGAGGCACTGAGGGAATAAAAGTATGTATGACAACGGTTTCAGTTAACACACACCTCACTCTTACATATATGTTTTCTACCCAATCACAATTAGAAGCTAGTTTAGAATATGATCCTGCAACTTACACAGAAAAAGCTAGAAGTTCATAGCCTTTACTAGACTCAATGATCCAGAACTTGAAAGACCAGAACATTGAACTTTCTATCCAGGTGTTAGGAGAAAGGAGACAATTCCATATGAATTTCCCTGAGGGGCTAACATATATTTCAGATATATATAATTATATAACATATATAATGTAATCACAAAATATAAATTAGGATTTCATAAAACAAAATTTTCTCAAGGTCTGCTTCTTTAAACCAGGACACCATCACTTACTTCACCTTCCCCCAGGGCTGTGGCACAATACAAGTAGAACACTAGAAGTGCAACGGAGCAGGCAGCACCTTGAGCACGGCATTATGAAGGAACCAGGCAAGCTGTAACTTGCATCTGAAAGTTACAGGCACTGCCCCTGCTTGCAGCTGCCTCTACTCTGCCCCTTCCCACTACTGTCCCGTATCTGCTGAAGATAAAAACTGATGGGTCTGAGGCCACTAAATCCCACCTACTATAGCAGCCAAACCAATGAAAAAAATCTTCTGCTTCCACTCTTAGAAATCATTATCTCTCAACCTGTAAGGACCACAGTCAGTCAGGACTTGCAGCAGTGTGTAAAATTATTCATTCCTTGGGCATGAGAAGGAGCACAAACTGGACACACCACTTTCCTTTCTTTACCATCCTGTCTGCTCCTTGGACTCTGTGCCATGGGCTCACCCCAGATGCTGCAGAGACTCCAGTTTCCTACATGGAAGTTTTCACACAGCTCAGGTTAGTTGGCTACAACAGGCCTTCACCATCTTACAGAAAATGTGTTCCTATCCATCACCCTCACATTGCACAGATGTGGCATTCTTCAAAACCAAAGAAGCACCTAGCTCTCTCCAAGAAAAGCCACTGAGGAAGTCAAACACCAGGCTCTAGCCTGTATGACCTGTAACCGCTGTGACTCCACTCCCTCACACATTCAGAATTAGATCTGGCAGCCAAGGAGCCACTAGCTGCCTCTTCCACCACTCACAAGTTAGGGTTAGGGTCACAAAGACACACTATTTCATTTTTTACTGTATGACAGAAACTAAGCCTTTCTTCAAGTTTTGTTTTATTTTGCTAGGCAAGAGCTCTGCCACTGAGCTATGTCACCCAGCCCAAATCTGAATCTTCCACTATTTTAAGACCTGAATACCTGTTAAATAGGTTCTTTCTTTTTCCTAAATCTATCCTTGAGATGACACTATAGATTTAAACAAGAAATTTGTGTCCTTTCTAAGCAATGAAAATTGTAAAAATCTCATCTCGTAGGCTGATTTCAGACGGAAGCCCTGCCTCCCCTTGGTCTTCTTATGACAGTGGGAACAACATTAGACTGGGAGTCAAGACCTGAGCTCTATAGTACCTCTGCTACCAGCTCACATAGAACACAGAGCTGGCGGTTTCCCTTTTCTACGTATTGGCTGCTTCTTGTGAATACCATGGGAAAACTGACATGAATAGTATTAGATAACTAACTTTTATAATTTGCCCTTCTTAAAATCTTCCACTATGGTCTCACTTATAAGATGCCATATACTCATAGGTTTCCTATTAAATTTATGAATTACCCACAAACAGCTTATATTCATCTTTCACACTATACTTTACACAATCCTACCAACCCACTGAAGACCCATGTTATAACATGTAAAGCACTGACCTAAGAGTTTTTATATGAGGCTGGGCCATATGACTTGCCAACACTGAATCATGTCTGTAATTGTAAGAACAGCACTTTATATAGTTCAACCTACACTGGCTTACATAAGCCTGCCAATCTTGTGAGGTAAGTATTACTGATATCCTCATATTACAAACAACAACATAAAAGCATAAAGAAGCTAGTGACTTGCCTACGTTGCACAGCTAGTACACGATGGGGTTTAGATTTAAACCCAGGCAGCCAGGCTCCTTTATCTGTGGTCCTAACCATAACATTACACTGCGTCTCAAAATGGAAACAAGAAGAGCTTGACAATTTAATAGTCCAGACCAAGGTGACATCTTAGAAGGAGCAAGAGGCTAATACCACAGCTTCTGCCAGTTTGTACCTTTCACTTCGATGGTGGCATTTGCTTTAGGAGCGTTGACAAAATGATATACACAGTGGTATTCGCCTGAATCCTCAGCTCGTGGCTTATTGATCCTGTAGAGATGAGAAGAAAAATGAAGTGAGGTAACTGGGTATGATGAAAATATACAGCAACATTGTGGAAACTCAAACGGGGCATCAGGGACTTACTCTACAAATCCCACTCCTTAATGCGACGCACTTGTTCTTCACTAAAAGTACAATCTTCGCTCTCTGATTCCCAAAGCATTAATGATTCCTTACTAAATGCCAGGAACACAGAGAAGGAAAACCTCATGGCCCCCAGTCTTAAAGTGCTCCAGTCTAGTCAGGAATGGTGGCGCACTCCTGTAATCTCAACATTTGAAAGGCTGAGGTAAGAGATGGTTGCAAGTTTGAGACCAGCCTGGGCTAAAAAGTGAGTCCAAAGCCAGGCTGAACTGCAGAGTGACTAAAAAAACAAAAACAAAAACAATCAAAGATGCTCCAGTCTATTAGGAGGAAAAAAAAATTGCAAAAGTAATCAAACTAGAGGGCCCCAGGGAAAGAGAGATTGAGTGGAAGGTGGAGAAATGAAAAAAAAAAGTACCAATAAAATGATTTTTAAAAAACACAAAGGCCCATACCAAGTATCACAATTTGTACTCAGATATAGTGGACAGAACCGGCACTAAAAACTACTTGCCTCATAGTTCTAGTCAGAGATACAAGAACAAAGTGAGGGGAGCCTTTTTGGAGCCTTCCTAAAGACCTCAATATTTAATAGCACGCCCTCTGGTAATTTACTAACAGGGACCACATATAACTGTTTTTTGAGTTACTTTTTTTAAGCAAGCAACCAAATCTGACAAGAACATTAGCCACAGAGATGCAGCTTAAGGGAAAAAAAGGCCTTTTCATAAACTCCAAGGCTCTGCAGGATCCGGCCGCCTTCCCTCCTTAGCCTTACCCTGTGCACTGTCCAGCCCTGCAAGGCTCTTTGTAATACATACGCTTATCCCTGCATCACATCCTCACACCAGATGTTCCTTAACATAGAACATTCTTCCCATCACTCTTAGCTCACCTAGCTCCTTTTGTCATTAGGTCTGGGCTTCCCTGTCACTACCCTCTACCCCTAATTTTCCATCCTCTGTATGTTTCTCTCTCATACTCTGATTGTTCACAGCGCTCATCACAATGTGCTGCTCTGTATGTATGAGACTGCTTGCACACACTTGCACACTCCCTAGCAAACCAAGTTCTATGTGGGTACACACTATTCACCTTACCTGTGTGACTGCAGTATAGTAGGGAAATGAATACAAGATTAAATGAATACAAATTAAAAATAAAGAACTGTACACAGACCCAGACCAACTTAAGCAGAGTAAGAGGAAGGACATGTAATACACGTGTAACCAGAATACCTCCTCTCGATCTCACAAGTGATCACAAACAAACTTTCTTGCCTCTGAGAGGCAACTTCATATCACCTCAGTATTGTCTGGTGCACATACACACCAAATGTGCAGAAAGGCTGATGAATAATTACAGAAAATAGAGAATCGGGCCAGGGATTTAGCTCAGCTTCACCCTAAGCACCTGCCTGGCAAGCACAAGGTCGTGAGTTTGATCCCCGGTACCACAAAAAAAAAAGTATCAATAGCTTTCAAGATCAGGGGATATTTAGATAGAGCTAGACTCCTACTCTTTTGCTTAGCGGTTAAAATATGATACATGTTATGACCCAATTTCTGCTGTTCTAATTAGTATGTAATTAAAAAAACTAATCTAATCCATTGACTAGCCATGTACCTATCTTACTGTTCATTCCAAAAAAGAAACAGAATGAGTGAGACCCTTTGGCACAGAGGAAGTGAAGTGGGAGTGTAAAGAGACTGAAACTGACCAAGAAAAAAATTTTTTGAACCTGGCTGGGGATTTAGCTCGCCAGCATATTTGCCTGCCTGGTAAGTGCAAGGCCATGAGTTTGATCCCCAATACTAAAAAATAAAAAATTGAACTATTATGTATCGCAAACGAGGGGTGGGGGCTCAGAGGATCTTGGAGGAGGGGAGAGAAAGGGACAACAATTGAGAATATGAATGATTCACTCTGGATGAGGACAAGCAAAGCCAACCCCCCAGGCCTATCTCAGCATGCCCACATCAGTGTAATATTCTAATAGAAGCAGTCAAGATGTCTTCTCAATTTGACAAACATGTCATCTTAAAAATCAATATACTCTCAACAAGAACAGACAGAGGCCAGCTGCTCTCATAACAAGTATTCCAGAGTGTGCAGGAGTAGTAGCAGTCATTCCTCTGTAGGGCTCAGACCAACTCTAAGTTCCCCTAGATACCAGGGAAGAAGTCTCCTTAGATTGAGGCCATGCATATGGGCTTAGACTCCCCACACATCATTCCTTTCATCTACACACTGGCAAGGAGATGAAGTCCACGGAATCACTACAGGCTAAGCAGAAGCAGGTTTCTGAACCTGGCTCTATGGATGACTTACTGAGTAGCCCAAGGGACTCCTAAATTGTTATTCCACGAATGTATACTCTCTGAAAAACTCTAGAGATGCAGAATATCTTGGAATGTTAGGATAAATGAACCAAGAAAAACATGCAGAAAAAAAGGTAAAGCCAGGGTGAATGTTCATGAAGTTAGAGTTCAAAACTTTGTGGGCAATATGGCAAGAACTTCCCCCAGTATTATTAGATGTCTGCTATCTTGAAACAGGTATTATGGCAGAGTGCGGTTAGATTGTTGGGCCAGACTACGGGATACCTTTGCTCCACCCAACATCTCTAATTTTTTAATCCAAACTACTAGAAGAAACTACTATGGAAATAGTTAACTTGCTACTAAGTGGTACTGGTACAACACAAAAAAAATTCTGTAACAAGTCTGGAAAGTTCAAAGACCTGGAACCTCTGAAACTTAGCAGATATGCTATGTGACTTTCAAAGAAGTCAGGAGTTACTCTTTGGGGGCTTAGTTTTTTCACCTGAAGAAAGGGAAAGGATCTACAAACTCCTGCAGCTCTCCTGAGTGGTGTTAAAGTTCTCAATGCCATAAACACTGCACAAATGCCCTCGCTATCGCTGGACACAATGGCTCTCCTGGCCTTGGTCCAGTGCTTTCTCTGCACTCCTTCAACTTGCCAAGCAGGATTAGCTGATCCCTTTCCAGACTGGTTTTCAACCAGAAACAAACTACTCTGAAAAATGAGGTGCCATGTGTTTAAGATGTTCCAAAAAGTGCCAGCTCTTTGGGTGTCTACTAAGACCTGCAAATATTCTTCTCCAGAGGTTTCTTCCAGGTCACTATCTTCACTCTAAATCCTGCACTTGCTGGTGCTGAGCAGATCATGGTGACTAAGGCAACCACTGAGGTGAAAGGTAACTTAAGAGATGTCTCAATGCCCACTTCACTCTGATCCCTCCAAGTACTAGAGCAAATCAGAGGCCTGGATTCTACTAGTGATCCTACCTGTGACTTGCACAGCCGCCCACAGTGTGTTACCACAGGGAAGAGATCAACCTAGCTGTTTGCTAGAATAATCTAGGAGTCTTTTGTAAAATCCTAGACCTCACCTCACAGATACTGAATTAACTATCTAGGTGAGGATGAAATACATCTTATGTCCAAATTCATAATCTGATACATATTTTAGTTCATAGAAATAAGAGTTCACACTGCATTTTTAAAGAAATTTTCTCAGATTCATCTTTTCAACATGCACATGACAACTCCTAATAAGTTCTGAAATGCACTGGTAAGCCCTTAAAACAATAAGAACATGCGGTTACAAAGGTTACAGTTTTGTTAACAGTTCAGCTCACTGCAATAACAGTTCATAATGTGAGGGACTTTTTTTTTATGAGATGAGGTATTACTATGGTAGTTCATGCTGGCCTTGAACTTGCAGCAGTCTTCCTGCCTCAGTCTCCTGAAACCTAGGATTACAGGCATTCACCACCATGCATGATGCACAGTATCTTTTAAGTAATATTTTCAAATTCATTTCAACACATTTTATAAACTCCTGATTACGGATTATGAACATTACAGTCATCTCAGCTCTGCTTCTTCCCACAGTCCTAGGAGTTGCCAGCCCCTCTCACCTGTATTCCATGTTGCTGGCATTCTTACGAGTGGCAGTCAGTTCTACCCCATTCTTTGTCCAGTAGCTGAATGCAAGGGTGTGAGAGTTGGAGGTGAGGTTACACTGGAGGGTGACAGGACCGGGGCTTTCTCTTATAATGACCTCTTCACTGGTGAGAATCCTTGGCTCTGTAATAAGAGTGCATAATGACAGAGGGCCACACCTTTCCAGCATCTGCAGCCCTGCCTGAGAGTTGGGTGGGATAGGAAGGGAAGAATAGAAGAGGGAGGGCAGACAGGACTACATGAGGACTTTCACTTTACCACTTTGGAGGAGTCAAAAGGAAAAACAATGATTATAAGCAAATGACCACTAGCGCAGACAACAGCCTGAAGACCAGTTGGCCTAGACGTGAAAGAATGGGAGTATTATAGGTGCTTGTACTGGCAGCAACAACCCCCTTATAATTTTGAATACCACCTTTTTATGATAAAAGAACCACCAACCAATTCAACTTCAATTATAAACCAGGCTCCACCTTACAGTTTTAAAGACAAAGGCATTATCATTTATATAACTAATAAACTCCCTATGGAGTCACTGGGCCTTCGAACAGTAATAGGTATAATGAGATACATGTGTGATATTTCCTACATTTAAATCTGTCAAATCTACGGCAAATGATCCATAGCTGTTTATGCAGAAAGTCCAGATCCTAAAAGCAAACTTCCCACTGGAACTCTTCATTTTCTGAATACTGAGGAGAAAAAAATTCCATTAGTTATTCTCTGGCCCATACTTATTTCTCTTTTTTTTTTCAGAATTGCACTACATATTCCATTTTAAGATAATATGATATTAGAGTGCAATATGTCTTGGTAATTATGGGATCCTAGAATTTGAGAACTGGAAGGCCCTTAGAGCTTCCTAAGTCGCCTCCCACCCCATGTTTAAGAGCTTAAGAAGTAAAATGACTTGTGCAGGCCGTAATTATTATTAGTGGCAACAGTGGGCCTGGAAACCCAATCTGACGAATTCTCTACCCCTACCCCCGTTCCCAAAACACCCCCACCCCAACCTTCCACCCCAAGGTACTACTTTACTATTCTGGTTCTATCCTGGGCTTAGATAACACAGGATCACCAGTTTACCTTCAAAAGTATCCTATGAGTCAAATATAGCACAATGAGCAGAAAAATTTTAAGTCACACTGTATTATTCATGGACACTTTATTTTTAAAGCATTCTGAAATCTTCATTATTATATTAAAGTCAGGGTATGTCTATGTTTGTTCCTTGTTTTTTTGTTATCTGTCTTTCATCTTTTCCCATGCTTAGTTCTTTTTCTATTTTTGGTCAAACATTTTCAGGTGAAGTCTGAACTAACCACCTTTTCCCCACCTTGTTCTTTTTCCTTCCAATTCTTTCTGTGAAAAAAGTAACTGACTTCCCATTTCTCCTTACCTGGCTCCTACATCTCTGCAGCAACTCTCTCTTACTTATGCAGGGTATCTCTGATTCTGAGCTGTTTGAAGACCGGACTGTCTCCCTCCACTGGAACTCTTGTTGTTCAGGAGGGTAAAAGGATGGAGAAATCATATTTGGAAAATGTAGTTACTTAAGGACCTCATAGCCAATGTAGGATTTCTGACCACAGAGTTAACATCTTTAAAGAAACTTGTGATAAAGCAAACTCTAAGTTTTCTAAAGTAATAAATTGGATCTAACTGATTTCAGATTCTGGCAAAAGGATAGAGGTTATCTTCCATTTGGCACTGGTCCTTATCAGTCACATTAAACAGAGTTTCTATGTACAGATAATGGAGGCATAGCAGCCACTATGACAAAAGCAGATGCATGTAAACATGTTAGCGCAGTGGTGTCCCATGGTTTCCAAGACACACTGGACAGAAGCCAAATCCCTGGGCCTTAAAAAGTCGAGCAGAAACGGCTGCAAACCCTGCAATGGAAGGCGCACACACACCATCAGCAAAAAGCATCACAATTCCAAGAAAAATCAAAACCAAGCAAAAACAAAAGATAAAAAGAGAACCAGTACTCCACAGAAGAGAAATTAAAAAATATCAAGGCAACATGAAAACCCAAACACACCTTTAGGTTTTTACTAAATTTTTATTATCCAATTTCACAGTCCCACTTGGGACTCTCCTTCTGGTTCTTCCTTTCAGACTGCACCAAGAAAAGGTGAATTCTGAGAATGAGGCCAAGAGTTTCCAGATGTTTAAACACAAGGAGGCCATAGTAAATGCTACTCTTACCTGTGGTGATGCATATGCGCACCGCAGCTCTGGGAGATTAAGAAGTTGATGAAAGCAACCTGGTAGACTTTCTGTCAAGAACTCTTGGAAGGCAAGGACAGCACTTTCCCCCTTAAGCGTTAAAAGATCCAGGAGAGTCAGCTGGGAGCAAGTGGCTAATTTAATAGGTTTAAACATGATTCTGTAACAATAGAAGGTTGTGGGGTGCCCTTCCTCCGGTGACTGCTGTATATGGAAGCCAGTGCTAGACCATGCTCCTTTGGCCATGGTGCCATATCTACATTCTGCACCAAGATAAAGGTGGGGCTTTTATTTCTATGGTTGAATGCTGCCCAGTTAAAGAGTGATGTACATTTAGGAGAGGCTCAAACATTGTTACCTGCCACTGACTCCTATTTAGAAGCACTGGGTAGGAGACTCTTACCCTAGCCATCACGTATATGTGAAGAACATGCCATGGCCAGCAAGATGCCCTCACTGGGGCACATCTTTTCCTTGCCTTACATTACACAGAGTTCTGGGACAAGTATTGCTAGGAAGTCAATCTTAGAAGTCAATCTTTAACCTCTCTTTGGAGACAGTATCTCTGGGAATGGCAGAGAACATAAAACAATTCAGTTAAAAGTTAAGATATTAAAAAAAAAAAAAAGCAGCAACAGCAACAGTCTGGCTCTCCAAAACCACTAAGTTGGATTAAAGTGGATGGACAAGTCTGGAGAAACTGACTAGCCAAGACTTGGTTCAACCACATGCAAACACCCTCAAGTTAGAAAGTGTGTTTCTAAGTAAACCGGGAGATAATGTGTACTCTTAGGGTAGGCAGGTACTCCCAAAACCTTGTCCTTTTTCTAGCTTTCATGGCCTTTCTAAGCTGTGAGTCAGGCCTTTGAAATAAATTAGCAAATGCCCAGCCCAGGCCATACCTATAAACTCATGCAGACTTTTGTGGCCATTTGGGTAATTCTGCTTTTTTTAAGGAAAGGAGCAAGGGGGCAGGAGAAAGAGACGTGCAAGGGGAAAAAAATTGTTAAAAAAAGAAAAGAAAAGAAAAATTGCTGGGTTAATGTTCCCCGTTTTCACATAGACAGATTTTCTTTTCCTCTTTACAGAAGCAGGTTCTCTGAGTCAACAGTGCCTACTGCAGCAGCCTTTCCTGTCTCTCCTCTCAAGCCTCTCCTCCCACCCGTTCCAATTTGTTACAAAGATCAGGCACTAATTTCACTATTTTTTATGTAAGTCTATGGATTCAGGGCCACTAATTCACTATTTTTCATATAAATCTATGGATTACCTCCTGTATTATTACCAAATTCCTCATAAAAATAGTATTTTTACTACTTTTATTCACTCTGTCTAAATTGTTCAGCTCTTTAAGGCAGAAATGGCTACAGGTCTCACCAAGCCCTTGAAGATAACATGAAAAATCCAAAGGAGCCTCCTATTAGATAGGAATACCTCCTCACCTATAACCAGGTCTAATGGAGGGCTGGAATTCTTCCTAGGTAGGAGCATTGGTGTTCTGTGGTGACTTCTCCCTCCTTCCTACCATACAGTGACCAAGTGACTTTCTAGAAACAGAAGTAGCCACCAAAGTTGCTGTGTCAGATGTCTCCTGTTCCCACTACAAAAGATGAAGGGGGTTTCAACCCAGCTGTTCCCTCAGAGAAACAAAGAACATGGTTTGGATTTAGTTTCCTCTTTTTCCAAGGAACAAAGAGAAGGTTATGGGATCCAACTACTTCTGTAGTTACCATCTTCTGGGATGAGGGTCCCTATACCAAGTCACTCATCAAAGTCAAACTATCTAACAGGAATCAGATGCAACTCTTGAAAGACTGAGACAATGTGATGGGGCTTTAAAAAATATATTTTGCCTACCATTCTGAGTGGCTGAAGCAGGAGGATTTCAAGTTTGAGCCAACTGCAGGCAGCTTTCCAAGACTGTCTCAAAATAAAACATGGGATATAGCTCAGGGAAAGGTCCATGGGTTCAATCTCCAGCACTGGGGAGTAAATGTGGGTGAATATATAATATGCATACTGCAGCTCCGTGTCATCTACCTCTGAATGCTAAGATATGGAGAGGCAAATCTTAGGAGACTGAATGGGCAGGCCCAGGGAGGAGGTATGTCCCTGCAGTGGAGGGCTGCTGTCAGAGAAACATGCCACTGCTTTAGAAAAGAAAAAGAGCTGAACTATGGATATCCAAGCTTACATGCCACCCAACAATCAAAACACATCACCACATTGCACCCAAGGCAATATTCCCATCACAAAACAGTGGTACACCAAGTTACGGTGAGGGAAGAGGCTGGGCAGACACAAACTTAAAACCATACAAGTGAAGGTAGCTATTCAGAGAGCTTCAAACAGATAAACACACGATATAAAAGTAGTTAGATTGGGTAGAGAAACAAAAATAGAAAGGCACCAGGAAAGAAATCAGCAAAAGGATAGCAGGAAACCTACTACAAAACTAAAGGGGAGGGAAAGAAACAATTTCAATACTACCCTCATTTTGACTGCCTGGTTTTGTTTTCAAAAAAATTTTGTAACCTTCCCATTCCCCCACCACCACCTCTTCCCAGCGCAGATGATTTTGGACAATCACGGATTTCCTCAAGTTCTTTGTTCCTGAGGAGAAAGACACAGAGGGGGACAAAGGAGGCAAAGAGGACAGCAAAGAAAAGTCGCCACAGATGTTTTCATACACTACAACCAGAAGGGTGATGGGTTTGAAAAACGAAGACAAGGGGTGGGGTGAGCGATCATACTGGGGAAGAGGGAAAGGAAGCAGAGGGAAGGGTCATCGGGCCACCTCTATGACTACAGTACTACTACTGTAGGGTGCTGGACTCACTCTGAAGGACGCTTATGGTGGCCTGGGCTCGAATCCATGTTATGGAAGGGTTTTGCCTCAAGTCATTCCTCTTGGGGTCGTTGCTGGCCCTGCACTCGTAAGTCCCAGAGTCCTCCAAGGTGAGCCGGGTTATTCTCAGCACACTCACGCCGTTTGACCCGTAGGCGGTGTTTACGGTGACACGGCGCTTCCGAGCACCGTCCCACAGCTGTCTGAAAGACTCTGCCCGGTTGACTTCTGCGTACCACCACTGGATCTCTGGCGTGGGGCTCCCGACCACGTCACAGTACAGCTCAAAGGCGTCCCCCGTGAGCTTAGTTTCTGACATGGGCGACTTGACAAACCCAGCTAGAGGGAGGGGGAGCAGGAATGCAGTGACAGGCCAACCAGAAAAAAAAAGAATCAACAGGTGTTAATAGTAATTTAAAGAAAAGGAAAGGAAAAAAAAGCAAATGAGTTGCAAAGAACAAAAAAGGATTCATTTTTAAACTATAAAGAGACAGTAATAGCAATTCATACAAGCCTTTAGAAGAACCACCACCCTGGGAAGCTTATGAAGCAAAGGCAGGCCAATTGCAAGCTGGGGCAGCCTAGGAGCTGGCCAGGCAAAGCAAGCCCACTGGAAAGCATTTTAGCAATGGGCCCAGCTGGTAGGAACGAGAAAGCCTCATGTCTTGGGGAAGAGCCTCTTTCCTTACAGCACATTACCTTTTCAAATTCAGGAGAATGATGAAGGATAATCAAAAGTAGCCACAGATTTATGTGACAAGTTAGGATCTCTCTTTTGGATGAGTTAGCACTTTGCTAAGATGCATTGTGTTTTGTAAGCCTCAACAAGTATTAATCGACCTACAGGTACTTTCTTTTGAGATTCAGACCAAATTTCAGCCGAAAGATGCCAAATTTCTCTTGGAGGTTTCTGAGTTCAGATTAGACTTTTCCTATCTCTCACTCTTTTTTGGGTCTATGGCAAACAAACACAGCCCAGTAGTCTAACGTTGGACAATCTCTCCCTAAACACACACTCTCAGGCACAGGAGACAGGACAGTCTTTGCTTTATTCCAGGGTGAGAATAATTACTACTAGAGTCAGCTCAGAAACGGAACCGGAAGGAATAGCAGCTCAGTTCATCATATAATCCCATAAATTCATATCACTAAAAAAATCTTAAAAGCCAATCCTTCAAATAAACATGGTTGTTAGGCTCACTTTATCTAATTTAGCTAGCCATCTTCTAGAGGTCAGCTCCAAAAAGAACGAGGACTTTTACACTGATGAACTCTCAAGCCATGCCTCAACCAACATTTTGAGGCACTCTCAGGAAACTACAGTTGATGCCTACTTTCATTTACATAGAATGTGCTTGGGATTATACTGCGGTAACAGAAAGTGACAATGGCAGAAAGTAAAATAATTAGCATAATCCGGGCTTATTTGAAAAACTGGGGAGTTGGTCCCTAGGAAAGGAAACTACAGTGCAAGCATTCTCTATCTTACTTGTTTACTCCACAAAGGATCCACTCAGCACTTCTCAATTGAGGAGACAGTATTTTAGAATATTGGGCAAGAAGCTAAGAGAGCATTCTGAGTAACTTCCTGACCTCTCGTTAGAGGCGTAGTTTATGAGTTAGACCAGGCCCACTGCAGTGAGCAGACAGTAGTAGAGTCAGGACCTGCCAATGTTAGATTAACAATGTTCCAGACAAGAGGAAAAATGAAACAGAACTGTTTCCCTACAATCCAGAAGCCAAGGGTAATGAGGATAAATAAAAATGGAGGCTGCTAAGTGGAAAACTTTCTGTTTATATCCATAGCGATACTTGCCTTTGGAGATAAACCCCACAGATCTAAGTATGCTAAAGAAGGTACAATATATTAGTAGAGGTCAAATTCATACCAGTGTTTCAACTCTTGAAATTTTCAGAATCTGGACATTAGAAAAATATAATTAACAAGTTTAGGCTAAATATTCTGCCTAATATATAATATGCTATTCTAAACCACCTCTCAGATTCTGCATTTACTCCTTGTAAGGAACTACAGGTTCCAAGCAGCCAAGTTGATGTCATTCCCCAACAGGGGAGACACTTTAGGATCACAGAAAGGAGCCTCTAGGCCCTCTGATGAGCTAAGCCTGTTACAGTGGTGTCCAAGAGCCTTGTTTCATTCAGATTCAAACTGCCACCCACTCGCAAGTCAAAGTCAGTGCTAACAAATACAATAGGTGAGGTTTATACTACCAACCAGTTTGATCATCAGAGAAAACTAGACATCAGTAAATCCTCAGATTACAGGAAAGAGTACTACTCTGAATCATATTACTGACTATTAAGTGAAACCACAAATGGCCTTATTCACATATTCTCTATAAACTTCAGGAGTTTATTACAGCCTCTCAAACTCTGTAATAAGGCCCTGGAAATCACCTATTTTATACTTTCTTCCTTCTTTGGAACTTCTTCAGAGCAGGCTTAAATTTAAGTCAAAAACCCACCCAATTCTAGAGTAACTCCAAATCCCAGTCATCATGCAAACTGGATTCAAAGTCTGAATGCGATTTGCACCAAACTAAGCAAGTCACTAGGCCTGACTAGGCAAGATTTCCCACTAAAGAAGAATTGTTCATCTTATTCAGTTCAACTTTCTACCTGTATAAAAACAGGTTCAAGTCAAAATTGTTCTTCGAATTGCTGAATTATGATTTATATGTACATAAATTTTTATTTTAAAACTCCTTAAACTCTGACAATGGAGATCTTTCTGTGCATTTCCAAAGACCATTATTATTTGATATATTAACAGGTCACCTTTTCTAAATATGTTTTCTATGTTAGGCAATGTGCAAAGCAGTTTATATTCATTATTCTCACAACTGCTTGATAAAGTAGATTTCATCATAAAATTCCATTCCATTATAAAAACAGATTCCATTTATAAAATTCCACTGCTAAGTATAGTGGCTCATGCCTGAAATCCAGCACTCAGGAAGCTGAGACAGAAGAATTGCCACAAGTTGGAAGACAGTCTGGGCTACATAGTGAGACCCTGTCCCCAAAAAACAAAAAGATATGGAAACTAAAGTCCAACACAGTTAAGCATTTGTCCACAGTCACAGCTAATAATGAGAGTCTAGGCTGTAATCCACGTATATCCAAAGTCAATGTTATATAAACATCTCCCATCCTACAGTCAACATGTCTCAGAAGGCTAGGAAAGTCTTATATAATCATTTAAAAGTTAAAGACATGCATTGTCACATTTAGTTTAATAAATTAACATTATGATCACAAACTCCTTAAAACTGTAATCTTACTACATCCTATTAAAGGATGGAGAGAGAGCAGCACTGAATGAAAGAGTTCCTAAAGTCACTGGGGCAGGGATGGGTAAACAGTGAGAAAACAAAAGAATGTTTAGCGTCAGGTTCCCCATAAATATAGTTTAGATATGTTACAGTCATGTATGTACCAATTTACAAATGCCATCATATTATTATATGCAGCTAAGTTAGATAGAAATTAATATATAGCCAGAGAGGGACTGGGCTGTTAAGGAAGTCAGTAGAAAAAAGACAGACAGACAGAAAGATATCAGAATTGTGGTTGGAGGGGCATCTGAAGAAGACCAGGTCATAAGAGAAAGATGCAATGGCTAGGTCTGCATGCCTCCCTAAGAGATAAGTAGTAACTTGGAACTGTACCATAATTAGCACCACCTGGACCAGGCAGTCCAGCTAGGCATCAGTCACCCAGGTGAGTGACCAGAGTATCTGGACTCATTCCACCCCAAAAATGCCTTTGTTCTTTCCATGTACCCTTGCTATGGGACCCACTTCTCTGCTGGACCAATATCAGCTAAGCAGTTATACTTATAATCCCACAGGTTGATTATGGTTTGACCCATGTTGTACCAACATTGTGACTTTGTTGTATAAATTATCCCTGACAGAGGGCCTCAGTGGCCCTCATGTCTTTCAGGAAGGATTCTTGCTCCCCAATAAACCTTACCTACCCCTAATCTCCTTTATTCTTTGGAATTCATTCTTTAGTTTCAGGGGAAACAAACTTGGCACAGATGACACTTAGCAGACTGGAAGCTATATCTTCTCTATCTCAATTACGTACTATAAACATGGACTAATAAAAATTCTGAAAAAAGAAAAAGTTCTAGAGCAAGACTGGTCTAGTTCTGAAGATTCCAATTCCTGACTCTTGAGAGGGCTGGCTTCGGGGAAGGAAGGAATTTATTTTAAAAACGTTAGATAAATTTTTCTGGCATTGCAGTCAAAGGCTCAGCTGACAAAAGGCAGTACTTGGAATTTTTAGAAAATTTAAAAGCTTGCAAACTGTTTCCACTGAAATCTCATTCCATTCACACCATTCTGCAAAGCTCACAGGGCACATACAGAGACACGTTTGTCATATACCCAAGATAACTCACTGTAAGCTGGAACTGAAACATTAAGTATTCAGATCTCAGGGTTCTTTCCTCTAAACAGTACTGACTCTACACAAACCAACTAGAGTACTCCTTCATAGCTGAACAGTCATCAACCATCATGAAAACAGATTTACTTCCCTTCCACACAGTAGGGAGATGGGGGCTATTCTCCTTTTCTGCACAGTACTGTCAGATCACAAATTAGTAAGAGAAAGTTACTAGCAAGCATCCACCTCATTAGCCATCCAAAATTAGCTCTGATTCAGGAGAACGAGCTCTCAGAATCAGCAGGCTGTAGGCAGCATAGTACCTGACTCACTGCCCTGCCTTTCATTACCAAGGGCTTTCAAAAAATATGTGCCCTCAATACGACAGCACACAACTGCCTCAAATTGGAAGGACAATGGAAGCATCTGTTTGATCTCCGAGTCAGGATTCACACAATATTTTAGAAAAAGTCTAAATTTTAGAATAGTAACTCCTACCCCAAATGCTCCCAGTCATCATCCCCACCATCTTATGTGACAGGGCTCAGGCCTCAAATATATTTAAGAAAATATTAATATTAATGTGCTCCATTGAACAGCAATAGAGGAGAGTTGAATGGTGGCTCCTGGTTTTGGGGGGCAGAGGAACCAGAAGGTATGACATGCAGATAGCAGTTACAGCATTAAAAATGGAGGCAGCAAAACCAGGAATACCATAATACAAAATTGAATGACTGGGGGACGAAATGCAGAGAAGACTTCCAGAGAAAAGGAGGGGCTCTCTGGCAGGAAAAGAGATTGTAGACATGGATGTTGGGGGGGGGGGGACCAAACACAGAAGAGCAAGTCGAGACCAACTGCAAGGAAACTGCTTTTACATCCATCCTAGGAAGAAGAGGTAGCCTTGTTCCATGCAAGAA